GGTCTCTCTGTTCTTTGCAAAACAGATGCTTCCTCCACCACACCATGAGGGGGTTTCAGGTGCACACAGGTAGATGTCCCAGCCTTATGCACAAGCTCTGGTCACATCTGCACACACCAGCCCCTGGCAAACATGTGCCTCTGTCCATGCCTTGGGCCTCAGGGTTCATATACAGGCCATATGATTCTTCCTTAGGGATTTGAACCAAGAGAAAAGGTCCACAGAAGCCCTGGCAGTGAGAGTGTTTACAATCTGTAAAAAGGAGCAGTGTGGTAATCGCTCCAAGTTGTCACTAGAGTGGGACTTTTGAAATTGCAGAAGTCCCTCTTGCCCAGGTCCAAGGCTGCTACTAAGTGGTAGCACTGTCCAGTGCCCCCACACTTGTCTAGCAAGTTGAAGGAACAATACTGAGCTGAACTACAGGCATCTCTGTAGCTATCAATGCAGAGGGAATGCAGAGACTTTTCTCCATTTTCTTTTTTCTAAAAATATATTTTTATTGATTTATGAAAGGAAGAGAGTGGGAGGGAGAGATAGAAACATCAATGATAGGAGAGAATTATTTATGGCTGCCTCCTGCATGCCCCCCACTAGGTATCGAGCTTGCAACCTGGGCATGTGCCCTGACTGGGAATTGAACCGTGAACTTCTGGTTCATCCATCAACGCTCAACCACTGAACCATGCCTGCTGGGCCCTTCTCTCCATTTTCTAGGCTCCAGGAAAGATTCCAGTTGGCCCAGGACCTGAGATAGGACTTTCCAAGCAGGGCAGAGAGAATTTCTCAATTTCTTTGGCTAGTGGGGAGCTCAGAGTGATCTTTAGTTTGATTTATAAAAACAAAGTCATGTGGCACGTTCTGCACTACAATCTGGGTTATAGCACATAGACCATACCACTCAGCTTCTGAAGCCTTATACACTGAGTGACCAGATTATTATGATCTCTGAATGCATAATAATCTGGCCACTCAATGTGTGTGTGTGTGTGTGTGTGTGTGTGTGTGTGTGTGTGTGTGTTAGAGGCCAGGTGCATGAATTCATGCATGGGTAGGGTTTGGCCAGCCTGGCCAAGGCGAAGGGACATGGGTGGTTGGCCGACCTGCCTGCTGGTCGAACTCCTGGTCGAGGGGACAATTTGCATATTAGCCTTTTATTATATAGGATATACACTGAGTGGACAGATTATTATGCGTTCAGAGATCATAATAATCTGGCCTCTCAGTGTATATCTCTTACACTTGTGAGCTGCTCTGCTTGTGTCTTTCCCTATATGATTTAGTGTGATGCGTTATAAATTCCTTACAGGCATGAAATGGCTTATTTCTCATTGGGTTTCATTTCCAAATGTTTAGTTCCCAAAAACAATTTTTGGTAAATTCCTCTAATATATAACTTTTTTCGTAGCAGAGTGAAACTAACACAAAACTAGAACAAAGGTGTAGGCAGCTAATAGCAATGGCAGCTTCTGACATTCTTTGCTCTTTGTAGTTCTAATATAGGCTTTTTCTTTCCTATTAGAACTTTGCAGTAATGGAAGTGCCCTTAATATGAGGAGAGAGATCACTTGTAGAAAAATAACATTCTCTGGTACAAAATATAGTTAGAATATAAGTGATGCTTTATAGTCCCTTTAAGCTATGTTTACAAAGGGCATAACAAGCTTGACCATGAGTGTTTAAATTGGGCAACCAGCTCACCTGCTGCACTGGGCCTCTGACCCAGCAACCAGGCAGCAGGGGCCATACTGATTGGTTGTTCCACATAGAGATAGGTTCTCACTTGGTTTGCAGTAGAGATAAGTGGTCTTTGCTCCTTTATAGATAAGCCAGACTTCTTTAAAAAAAATTTTTTTATTTATTTACAAAATTTTAATAATATATTTTTATTGATTTCAAAGAGGAAGGGAGAGGGAGAGAGAGGTAGAAACATCAGTGATGAGAGAGAATTATTGATTGGCTGCCTCTTGCATGCTCTGCACTGGGGAACTGAACCTGCAACCGGGCATGTGTCCTGACCAGGAATTGAACCTTGACTTCCTTGTTCATAGGTTGACATTCAACCACTGAGTCACACTGGCTGGGCCAGACCTCTTTCATGTAAAATATCTTAGTCAATAACGTGGAAATGGTTTTCTGATTAAAATGGGGCTTTGCATAGGGACTACACGCATTATTATTTCAGATTTGTGAAGAACATGTGGTGAAGGCAAGATCACCAACCAATCAGGACAGGAGAAGAGGTGGCCACCATAATTTGGACAATAACTTGAGTTTCTCCTTGCTGTTCCCAAACATACTACAACTACCCGCACCAGTCAATCCTTCCCGTTAGGAGCCACACACCCACCCAGGGGCAGGACCACCCTTACAGCTTCCCAGCTCTCAGATGGAAAGGAAGCAGAGCAGATATTTCTAAATGTTGTCCCAGGGTGCTATGGGCCCATCTACAGGTCACAGGTAGTTATCTCCTGGAACAAAAGGCCAAAGAGAAAAAGGGGGCAAGGTGAGGTATGGTGTCTTATCTTCCTGCTCCTCTCCCTTAACTGCAGCGTTCCCTACATCAAGAGGAGGGAAGGGAGCTGCCAGAGAGATTATGGGTTTACACAAATGTGTCTCAGCTTCTAAATTTTTAAGAAGGCTTCCACCCACTGGAGCAGATGCCATTGGCAAACCCTACATCTGAAGCTGCTCTGTAGCCTGCACCACCTCTCTGTCCCTGTGGCTGTTTTGGCAGGAGCTCTGGTGGGTTTGGCCAGGATGCCAAGTCAGAGAGACACGCTGGAGGTCAGGGCTGAGTTTGGTAGCATGCTGGCTTCTGGCCTTTTGTCCTCAGTTCTGACTGAGCACACAGACCCCAATGCAAAAGCCAGTACTGTGTCATTTCAACATATAAACACTTCAGATTTATTGTAGCAGTTATTGAATATACTTCCCCTTCTGTTGAGAAAACTTGTTGGACTTTAAGAAGTCTTCTAGCAAATTCAATTGGGGAAATAGGCACAGATCCACTGGTGTTAGGCAGGGGTGTGGGAAATACACAATTTTGCTTTGCTTAGAAAAATCTCTTAGATCAAGAGAAAGATGGGTTCTCAAGATTCTATTGTGGTATATTAGACTGGTTTTTAGTCTGGAAAAAAAGAAGCATGTTAAAGTAACTACTTTTGCGTATAATATAGCTTTCTTTTTGTGTAAAGTACAGTGACAAAACATAGACAATAATGATCAAAACACTGACTTTAAACAGGATTTTGTTTACAATGTTTAATGGAGCAATCCGTGCAAACATTTTTCCTTCTTCAACATTAGAACGAAAAAAAAAAAAAAAGAAAAAGAAAAAAAAAAAAAAAAAAAGAACAACGGCCACACTTGGGTGCCTGGTGTTAACACAGACAATGCTTTCTCATTGCAACCATATTTCAAAGCTGTGGCGTGCCAGGGCAGTGGCCAGGCCCTTAGTGTTCCTCAGGATTGCTTGAGTGCAAATCTCGCATATATGACTCAATTATGTTAGGAGGTACACCTTGCAAGAGGAGCCTGCAGAAGGAAAGTCCACCTGGAGAGGACAAAAAAGGCAAAGGCAAAGTCAAAACCATCCGTGCGAAAACTCCCTGAAACAATTCTCCTGGACTAGCTGCCTGGAAATGTGTCTAATTGTGTTCCAATGAGTGACAGAGATCCAATCAGTCCTTACTCGGAAATCTTCTCCTGGGCTTAAGTTAGTATATTTAGACTTTAAAGCACTTGACATCTAGAAGGAAAAGCAAGTTCTGGCTAGACCCATGCAAATCCTTTGTTTCCTGCTATTATTCAATCTTAATTTAATTTCCTAACTGACTGGAAAACCCTTATCACTCTTTGAGAGGTTTTTGGGATTCTCCAATGCTCTGGTTGAATGGCAGAATAAATGCATACCATGTTGTGAATCAGCAGGAAGAACTGCTTCCGGTTTATTTCTGTTCTTTTTAATTAAGCACCAAGTTCTGACTCAAACACATTAGAGAAGAAAAAGGAGGTGACTCCTTTAAACTTGGCTACTTATACATTGCCAAGAGTGAAACAAATTGGGGGAAAAAATGGTTTTTGGTTTGTAAATCTTCACCCAAGGATATTTTTTGCATTGATACTTTTTTTTTTTTTTTTTTTTTTTTTTTTTAAGAGAGAGAGTGGAAGCAATGGGGAGAGACAGAGAGAAACATTGATGTGAGAGAGACACATCGATTGGTTGCCTCCTGCACATGCCCTGACCAGAGCAGGGATCAAGCCAGGAACCAAAATGCGTGCCCTTGACCAGAATCAAACCTGTGACCCTTGAGTCTGAGGGCTCACGCTTTAACCACTGAGCCAATCTGACTAGGGCTCACATTGGAATATTCTGTTAAAAATATCAAGACCTGTCCAATACCTTCTGAAGGTCAGAGAAATACCTACTAATATTTCATACTTACCGCTCATGTTTCTGAATTATAGCTAAAAAAAATAAAAGTACCCTTCATGAGAGAACCCATGAAACCATACAATTCATAGTCCTTTGGAGGAGTACTTCACTACTTGCTAACAAATTCATGACCAGACAAAAACAGCATGCCATATGAACATTCTTAAACTTCTTTAGTGCAAATTTGGAAAAGTCATTCTCCTTTTTAAAAAAAGACTTCAAGTCACATATCGGTAGAAATGATGCCACTTTTGTACATGTCCATTCCTTGATGCAAAGAGTTCAGAATGCTTGGGTATCACTCATTTTCATCCACATTAAATGCTTTAATTCATGCTCTACCGCATTCATGTCAACAGGAGATAGTTGTGCTGAATAAGTTGTTAATTTCAAGATACTAAAATACAAATTAAAAACTACAAAGTTAGGTGTTTTAAACAGTCTATTTTCATTGGACTACATAATGAAAATCATGCCATACTCCACAAGCTCTGTATGACTTATGATAGCATAAGCTTCATATGCCAAATCCATATGAAAGCTTACCTTAGATGATAATACACATTCAAAAATCCTTACTGTGCTACAACTAAGGGAAAGAGAGAGAAAGAGAGAGAGAAAGAGAGAAGTTGTGAGCATTAATAAAGTGCTAAAACCAGAGTTGAGTACGTGTTGGATGAAATTATGGTCGCAATTATGATGAGGTGATTTCATTAATCCTTAGTCATGTGAAAGATGTAGGAACATAGAAGCACATGGAATGAAGGGCAGGGATCCAGTCACTTCAAAAGGGTCATTAATATGTAAAACACTTATTAATATGCATAACCACTTTGCCTAAACAGGTGGCAAAGCCAACTGAATTGTAGAGTGAATATTTATGGTAAGAGCTTCCAAACCATTAGCTTAAAAAAAAAAATCCTACAACATATATATATTGTGTTTTTCAACAAAAGAAAAACATAGATGATGAATAAAGCATTAGTGTACATATATATATGTTGAAATTTTAAAAGGCAAAATTATCAAGTAGACATTAATATCAGACTAGTGTATTCTATAATATGTATTCTGAAATTATTCTAAATGTGACTAATCTAAATAAACACAAGGTTTAAACAGTCTAGGAAGTGACTATATGCATAATCTACAAAACTTTTAAAAAACAGCCCTAATTCTTTCTTCCTTTGAAAGCTGACATTACCTCTGGGAATTCAGAGAGTGCATATGATAAACGCAGGCATAGATCTACATAATTAGAGTTTACATCAAGTTTCTTACCCGGCCCCAAAGAACTTTCTCCCCTTCCCCCCAAAGAACTTCTTAATCCACTCTTCCAAATAGGGGAGAAATCATACATATACTATCGAACTCATTTAATGCTTAATACATTTAATAATGGGACCTCGAATTTTCTCTCCATTTAAGTTTGTGAGTATATGAAACACTTTTGGTCCCATGGAAATATCTAAAATGTCCAACAGAAAGATGGGTTACAGATATCCTACTGGTGAATTTTTCATGGGAAAGTCTTTACTATGAAAGTTTCTAAATATTGAATCTGTTTTTATTTGTGACCTTTCCCTATCAAAAACACTGGGAACACTTTTTCTACAGCTTAGCAATATAACAAGATTTCAGTTTTCTGAATTTCAACACAAATCTAAGGAAACCACACTGGAAACTATCTTAAAGGAAGATCGTATTTCTTTACATGTGAAAAATGCAATTATTGTAGAAATGTCATTGGTCCCCAGATGTTGATAATCTTACATCTAAAATATGGTACCTTCAAATGTAGCCTTCCTGCTTTATTTATGGGGACCTGTGCTATGGTAGTTTTCTGACAAAACTTAGTTCCTAATTACTTAATAACCTTGAATAATTTGGCCTTCCTAGTTCATGGCATAAACACTGTATGCCATGAGCTGCTAAAAAATATATATATATATAATGAGAAGCAAATGAGAAAGTCAAGCTTTACATGCAAAGTGCGATTTCATGTAAGAGGAATGGAACAGGAAGTAAAATATCCGGTGCGATATGAATTTTTAAAACCTGTTGCTGCCCCGCCAGGAACAGTGGTTCTCCAGGGGAATATACTCCTTGATATATCACTGTAGAATTAGAATATTTGTACCAATATTTATTTGTTCTCGGTTCACATTTTCACCTTTATTTTTACACTTTAACTTGATTTAAGTCACCTATTATCAGATAACAATCTGATGATAAACAACGTTGGCTTTACTTTTAGGAGCCAAAACTTTTACCCATACAGTTTGTTGCAATTGATATCTTACTATGAACGTATGTACTAGAACACGTTATTTCTATTATTGAATTCAATTATCATATAATTCACTATGCAACTACATAATTAATATATCATCTATATATACATGACATTGTTATCTTTTAGGAAGAACCCCAAATGTTGAACCATTTATGAAATCATCATTTTATATCATTAACAACAATCAGTTATTTTCAAAACACGCAGAAGTTGCAATAGGCTTTTGTTTTTATTTTTATTTTTATTTTTGGATGCAGAAAGATAAGTACCAACAGTACCTTGGAATTATTAAGCCCAAGAGTTTAGAAACATAAGAGTATTGCAACTGGGACCATAATCTGCATTTAAAGCTAATAAAAACTAAAAAGTAATGTTTACCTTTGTAGGCACTATCTCAAGAGTAAGCTTTAAAATTATTCTAAGGATATTATGTTTTAAACTTTTTTTTCTCTCTCACTCAATTATGAATCTATTGTATAGATTACCACAGGACTGACAGAGATCAGAAGAGAAAGAATAATATATTTTTCAAAAAGTTACAAAAGAAATTTTTTCAATAAGTTTCATAACTATTTTATACTAAATTTGGGACTAAAAAACTTTTTTCATGTAAGTATGCTAAGCATTTACTGTTTTTCCAATAAATAGATGTTATAAGATTTTCTTTCTGACTTTCAAATAATAATTTCTTCATTATAGAGATGTAGAGAAAAGACTTTGGCTGTCATAGGAAGGCAAGGTAATACAATACAAATGAGAGAAAAGATATTAGAATCATGTCACCTATTATCTCATGGTGTCCCAAAGTAGGTTTTGATTGCCAAGAAAAAAAAACTTTAATATACAAATTATATTAAATTAATATAAAAACTGATTAAGACGACAGGTTATGCTGAAACTTTTCTACCACATCAATCCTTATATATTTTCTTAATTTACATTGGTAGAAAACTAGTATAAATGAGATGTACACCTGTAAATGAAGGTTCTCTATTAAGATTTTAAAAGCAACTGGTTAAAATATGCAGATGCTATATTCCACTTAAGTAATAGTTTACACCAAATTAGCAAACTTACCCATATGTATTAAAAGTTTCACAGAACAGTAAACTAATTAAATATAGTGTAAATTTATATCTTTAGATAAGTTTTGCCCCAGGCTTCTATTTATAGATGGACTATGTCACCAAAATAATACTCTCTTGACTTCATTTATTCTCACCATGCTGTACACATACCAGCATTTCACTGTAATTAATATTTCTTTAGTTAACAAGAATTACAAGAGATAGAGCTAAGTCTACTTAACAAGACAAACAAACTTTACAAATAAGTCAAAGGGGGGTAGGGGAGGCTGGAGGAAGGTCAATTGGAAAAAAAAGGAGACATATGTACTACTATTTGTAATACTTCAAACAATAATTAAAAAAAGAGTGAATGCAAGATGTAAAAATGTATTCTCTACCCCAATTCTCTTGCCCCTTCCTCCTCCACCCCAGAACACTTTGGCAAACAATTTGGATTTCGCAGGAAGCACAATAATTAAATCGTTTTCTTTCATTTTATCCTACACTTAAGGTCTTGGATGTCATACCTTTCACCTCCAGTTTGCATTCGACCTCCACTGTCCCAAGGCTATTGACTGCTTTGCAGCAGTAAGTGCCTCCGTCATAGGAGCTGGGCTTGCGGATCTCCAGCGTACAGACCCCTTGGTTGCTGAACATCCTGTATCTTGGGTCATCCATGATAGCAACTTTGTTTTTCATCCAGGTTATTTTGGGCTGAAATTAATATTGAAGTAAATTAAGTCGAAACATATCTGTACTTAGCATATTAACAGGCCATCAAAGCAGTGACAGAATTTTAAACATAGCTGAGAGAGAACATCTCAGAAGAATCCACAGTTTCTCTCAAATTAAACTCTATTTAGTGATTGGCAAGAGAGCAAATGAGCAGTTCTTTTTTTCTTTACATTGTACTAGGATAGAATGGGCCACCTCAGTAGCTTCTGGGGCTAATATATTTCTGTCACCACAATAAACTCAGCAAACCTGGTTCCCTTCACTTCTGCAACATCATGCAGAGTTAGCGATCAAGTTTGCACTACATGAACGGTTCTGAAGAAGGAAGCCAGGTTTGTTCACAGGACAGCTCTGGGGCAAACTTCCCAGGAGGATTTAATTGCATTTTAATTTGATCTACAGGTCCATGAGGTTAACTCATCCACTATACACTGAGTGGCCAGATTATTGTGATCTCTGAAAGCATAATAATCTGTCCACTCAGTGTATATCCTATATAATAAAAGGCTAATATACAAACTGTCCCCTTGACCAGGAGTTCGACCAGCAGGCAGGCCAGCCAAGCCCCCATGTCCTCTCCTCCCTGGCCAGGCTGGTCGGACCCCACCCATGCATGAATTCATGCACTGGGCCTCTAATATATATATATATATATATATATATATATATATATATATATATATATATATTAATATACATGGCCTCTAATATATATACATACACACACACACACACACTGAGTGGCCAGATTATTATGTGTTCAGAAATCATAATAATCTGTCCACTCAGTGTATATTGTTGGACATTTTTCAGAGAATCCCCATAAGATGTCATAACCATCAAATTTCCTCACTTTATTTTCCTGATATCTTTTTCTAATTATTTGTAGGCTACTTATGCCTCCTCACCATTTAATCTGTCCTCTGACATCTGACATCTGTTTTCATCATCTGGTGGCAATGGATCTTCTCCAATCAGATAATTCAAGATCTAGCATAACCTAATCACCCAGGGAGGTGACTCCATTCTCCTTCACCCCTCAACTATATCTAACATCACTGACCCCCCACTCCTTATTCATAGTGTCTTCCCCTTCCTTATGTGAGTGCATAGCCTCCTCATTCTTTCTTCTGCTTCTTATATGATTTTGCTTTTTCAGACCTTAGAGATGGCCCCTCTCTTTCTTCTTCACACTGTTCTTTCTTCCTTCCACCTTTCAAGTGGAAGTATTCATTGAGGCTCACTTGGTCCTGGGCTTTTTCCTCATTACCCTCTTTCCTCAATGGTATTCCTTTCTAATGACTCCAAGGGATGGATTGTACCTTCCATCTGCCCACATTTCTGGAGACTTCTAAACTGAGGGTCATAGCCTTAGCCTTTGTCTAAGCTCCAGTGAACTTCTCCTTTGCCTACTGATCATTCCTACTTGGAAGGACCAACATCACTTCCAATTAAACACAAATTCAGAATCTTCCTCCTATCCTCAGTTTGGCTTCTCTCTGACTTCCCTATTTCTGTTCATGGTACATGTGGAAAAAATACCACTGTTTGCAATTTTTCAAATTCTAGGGCTCCTTCCCTCAGTGCCACCCAGATAAATGTCTCCATGGACAACATTCATTAACTTGGTTGTTCTTTTCAAATGCCAACAACATGAAACCTTCAAACCTTTCTAACTCTCTTCTGTTAGATGTGATTTCTCCCTTCCAAGTACTCTACCCTTAATGTAGCATACTCTAAATTCTGCCTTGCATTCTAGTATCATCATTTATCTTAATCTAGTAGAGAAAACTTAATGAATCAATATTTCCACCTAATTTTTCAGGTGAAACAATATTACTTCCATCTCCTCACCTCTCCATTCTTTTTAAAATAGGTGATTTGGTTTTTCCTTAGAATGAATTCCTTATGTATTAAAGAAATGTAAACAGTTTTTACTACTTAAATTAGTGTAATTTTCCAACAATACCACCCTCCAACCCCAGGATAAGACACAAATAACAGTTGAAGAGTCTGTTTTTATTCTTATTTATATTTATAGTTTGGCAAATACAAAAGGGAGAGTTTCAGGTTAATTCTTCAACTTAACTAATGTGATTAAAAAACTAACAAACATGGGTACCTTGGGATTTCCTCTCACACTGCAGTTCAGAGTGGCATTGTACCCAGCTACCGCATAGGTGTTGACCAAAGGCTGAGTGAACATGGGCGCCTCTGTGAAATCGAAGTCTTCATACACTGGATTTTTGTAGACTTTACCTTAAAAACAAGCATTAAAATACACAATTTGGCCTGAGACTATATTATTCTTGGCATACTTTACTCGCCAGGAAAACTTCCCTGAACTTAGAAAAAAACCCACCCAAACATGTAAAAACACAGGTGAACACCACACAGCATTTATTCTGGAGGGCACACATACCCCACAGGGGGCAGAGTGGTCATCTGAAACTGAAACAAATATTGAGAAGAAATTGGTGTCAGAGTATTTTGATCAACAATGCATTTTACTGTGACAGTGATGAGGAAATGAATGATAGGCATGGAATTCAGCCTCACCCATTTCATGGGTCTCATGTGTAGCTACTTTGAAGGTGTCTAAGAATAGAAGTAACCCATGCTCAATAAGTCAATACCTACTTTTTCCTATCCTTGTGAATTTAGGCATTTATATACCTACTGCCCAGAAGTTGGAATGAATTACAGCTTACATTTTTTAAAAATGCAATAATAATATAATTTTCCTCTAAAAAATTTTTACTTTTAAATTTTTTACTGGACATTTTTACCATAATTTAAAAATATGTAAAAAAATATGTAAATTTTCTTATTTCCTTTCACCACATTTCTTTTTCTTTCAGTCTCCTCTAGCTACTGAAAACCAGTCTCCAGATGTCTGTTGTGAAATTGTGATTTATAATAAGAAACATACATTTGGTCTTGATCCCCATTTCTGGCACACAGCTCCTAAAACCCTTGACATTTCTTAAGCAAGGAGAGCTATAAAAATGTCTTTTGTTATGTTAATGAGGTAGCACTTATACACACACACACACACACACACACACACACACACACACACTGCCACCTAGGGACTAGTTGCCAAAGGAACCAATCTTGTGATTGGTGGGTTGGGACTTTTAGTCCCGCCCCCAGACCTCCAAGGAGGAGAGAGGGGCTGGAGATTTAATCAACCCATGGCTGTGCAATGAAGCCTCCCTAAAAACCAAAGAGGACCTGCTTGTAGAGCTTCTGAATTAGTGAACACTGGGAGATTCTAGGAGAGTGATGGCTCTCCGAGAGCTTGGAAACCGTGCCCCATTCCCCATCCTTTGCCTGTGCCCCTCTCCCATCTGGATGTTCCTGAGTTATAATCTTTTCTATTAAACCAGTGGTACAGTGCATAGAATGTTTCTCTGAGTTCTGTGAGCTACTCTAGAGAATTAACCAAACCTGAGGAGGGGGTCATTGCAATCTCTGGTTTATAGCCTGTCAGTCATAAGCACAGGAGACAGTTTGGACTTGCAATTGGCGTTTGAAGTGGGAGGTGGGGACATTCTTATGGGACTGAGCTTGGAACCCATGGGATCTGATGCTATCTCTGGGTAATGTCAGAATGGAGTGGAATTGTGGGACATCCAGCTGGAGTTTAAGACTTGTTTGGTGTCAGGGAAACTTCCCCAGACCTCCACTCACTGGAAGTGGGTGAGAGCCCCCTTTATCAGCCTACTGCTAACTCACCATCCTTGGCGATCACAGCGCTCTCTTTAGTCATTGTTGCATTCTCACTGAGGCCACACATGTTTTCAGCAAAGACCCGGAAGTAATATTCATTGCCTATGACCAGTTCAGTGATGGTGGCATGGGTGCGGTGATAGTGCTCAATGACAGTGAACCATTCCTGAAAAAAAAAAAAAAAAAAAAAAAAACAATTTGAGGAAAATCACCTAAAAAATACACAACTATTCCAACTGTTGATTAGAATAGATAACAGTGATGTTTCATTCACTAAAATAAAAATAGCACTAATTTTTATCTTGAGAGCAATAACTATGTACCTTTAACTTATGTAATACTTTATAATTGGTTTATAGTTGTATAATTTAATCTTCATTTATATATTAGAATCATATACCCTAGATGTCAACTACTACCTTTGTATTTTTCTCATAACTGTATAGTCTGTCATCTCTCTATCAATCTACTTGTCTACTTATCTATCTTTTGTATAACAAGATATAATTATAACATTTTATTGCCAATATATCTATTCTGAGATGTTACTAAATCATCAGAGAAAAATTGAAATTGTTCAACAAAATTGCCTAGTATTATCAACACAGGTTCTTTTAGGTCTTTGCTCAGATCTCACCTCCTTCCTAACTGTTCAGCCTTCCATTGCTCTACTAAGGCCACACTCTGTTACCTTAATCTGGAGAAGTTTTCTTTACAGCGCTTGCTACCTTAAATTATATATTTACTGTCTGACTTGTTTATTCTAAGCTACAGTCCGGAGGAGAGCCCTCAGTGTTAAGGAAATTCAAGACATGCAGTACTTCTCTTGCAAAGCCATCCATTGACCCAGCTCTCAAGCTGCCTACATTTCAATAAAAGATGTTGCTTTAAAGGACAAATCTCACTTTGTCACAAAACAACCATCCAGCGGGGGGAGGGGGGGGAAACACACTAGAAACAGTGTATGAAAAGGTGGGGCTTAAATGGCCCTTCCCAACTCTCTTCCCTTGTTCAATTAACACTATGTAATTTGCCAAAACCAGTTTGGCTCAGTGGATAGAGTGTCGGTCTGTGGACTGAAGGGTTCTGGGTTCTATTCCAGTCAGGGGCATGTACATTGGTTGCAGCACATCCCTGGCGTGGGATGTGCAGGAGGCAGCTGGTTGATGTCTCTCTCTCATCGATGTTTCTAGCTTTCTATCTCTCTCTTCTCCCTTCCTCTCTGTAAAAAAAATCAATAAAATATATATTTTTAAAAAGTGTGAATATAGCTGCATCAAATTAAAAGAAACACTATGTAATTTCATAACCTATGTTCTTCCTGCTATCTATTGGTGAAAATGTTTAAAGACTTCTTATTGGGGGTGGGAGGAGGTAGAAGAGGGTAAAGGGGGGATAAATGGTGAAGGGAGGAGACTTGACTTGGGGTGTTGAACACACAATACAATATACAGATGATGTGTTATAGAAATGTCCACATGGAACCTATATAATTTTATCAATCAATGTCATCCCAATAAATTCAATAGATGTTTTACTCTTCCTATGAGAGTTAAAAATGGCTCTATGCCATTGTATGTCCAAACTTTCATTGAATCCTTCATTCACTTACAGGCAGGTTGTAGTGGATGGATTCAGATTCAGGAAGACTGACACTCTAACATTTGAAATGTATTGATTTCAAGCAAGTCATTTATACTTTCTGAGCCTCAGTTTTTTCATCTATAAAATATGGATAGTAATAATTCACACTCCAACTGAGTTTCTTCTTTTTTTTAAAAATTATATATTTTTATTGATTTCAGAGAGGAAGGGAAAGGGAGAGAGAGAGAAACATCGATGAGAGAGAACCATTGATTGGCTGCTTCTTGCATACCCCCAATTGGGGATCTAGCCCACAGCCTGAGCATGAGCCCTGACTGGAAATTGAACCATGACCTCCTGGTTCATAGGTTGATGCTCGACCACTGAGCCACACTGGCTGGGCTGAGTTTCTTCTTGAACACCCTAAGCTCCTTCCTTCCTCAGGACCTTTGCACATGTTGTTCCCTTAGAGTATTTCTTTTCTAACTAGCAACCATGCTATTCAAACATTTATTCTACAAGAAAAAAGAGTTGCAAGGGTGTAAATCTGAGTCAGAATCTAGAGTGAGTAAATATTTGCTTAACAAATGAACTATAAAATTCTATTAAGCATTCTATCAGGTGCTTTTATTTTTTATTATTATTACTAGAGGCACAGTGCATGAAAATTCATGCACTGGAGGGGAGTCCCTCAGCCTACCCTGCCCCCTCTCACAGTCTAGGAGCACTCAGGGGCGGGAGGTGACCCGGTGATCAGGGAGGGCGATGCCCCATCATACCTCTGCTGCTGCCACTGCCAGCAGCACAAGCCTTTGCCAGCCCTGGTTACCTGAGCCTTGGGTGGCCCTTGGGGGCTGGGCAGCCTCCATCTGAGGCTTGCCTGTGCCTTGGGCCAGCCCTGGAGCAGCTGGGGGCTGAGGGGGCTGGCTGAGGGGACATGAGATGCTGCATGCCTGATGCCCCGGCAGGGCTGAGGGGACTGAGCGCCACCATTTTGTGGCTGTGTGCACCGCCATCTTTGTGAGGGTGTGATAGTCAATTAGCATATTCCCTCCTTATTAGATAGGATTATTATTATTATTATTATTATTATTATTATTATTATTTTAGCGTCATGATAACCAAGCAAAGTAAGTATTCATGAACCTACATGATAGACAAGGAAGATGGAGATTAATGATGTCCATGTGCATGTGGTCTTAAGCATCAATGCTAGGATTCAAGTCTGACTCTTAAGTCAGCTCATCTCTCCATGGCCCCATGGGTTCCTCATGAGAGAGGACCTCCTGGTGAAATGTGATTTTGCTGCTGCCGAACCAGAGAAAGCCAGGCCTTACCATGCTCTTCTTGTCAGCCTTCTGGATCGTGTACCCTGTAATGGCCGCATTTCCATCGTCCTTTGGTGGCGTCCATGTTAGGGCAACATTCTCTCCCCAGACATCCTCAATCTTCACAAGTTGGGGTGGACCGGGGCGGTCTGCAGGATAAATTCACAGCATCACTGGAAGGTCATTTTCCCTCCCAGCCTAGCGCTGCTTCAGGAGGATATTTTAAAACGCCCCTCCCTCCCTGCCTCCCTGCCCACATTTCTTGTACCATTCCTAAACTTCAGAGAAGTGGAATGCATTCTAGCTAAGCTTATCTGGAAACATGATTTTCATCTTCCTGGGGGGAAAAAAGGATTTTGAAAAGAAAATTAAAATGAAACCTCAGACCTTATTAACTAGCCCTCTAGGGCAGCCCTACTAGTATTGGATCACAAGGCTACCCTGCCTAATTGGGAACGAAAGCTGATACTGCCTGCAACCAGAATCTACAATGTTTTCTATGCAAGAATTCAACACAGCAAGTAGTTCTATTGTTGAGAAATAGAAACAGAGTAGGAGGCGACTGGATTATCAAGCAAGGCAGATGTTTTCCACTAAAAAGTATATCCATTAATTTTCTTTACTATAGATGCCCTGTCTTCCATGATTAATCCTTTTAGTGAAAAATTGTTCGGAAATGCTAACAAATATTACTGATTTATGTTAATAAATTAAAAAAAAAAAAGAATTTCATGTTGAGCCAGCCTCACACAAATTGTTGCTTTAGCCTTATTGACAAGAACAATTAGTCCAAATCCTGAGCTGACAGGACGTTCTCCTTCCTTCTCCCGAACCTACCTACGATCTGGATGTCGATTGATGCGCTTTCCACAAATTTCTCCACTTTGACCTCCAGATCGTATTTCCCTGAGTGGCTCCTCTCCGCTTTTCTGATAAATACGATCGTGTCAGTCTCAGAGTTGCGAATGTTGATTTGATTTTTATCAATTTCGGCTCCGTCCTTCTTCCAAGTTAATTCTGGCCTTGGTTTTCCCTAAAAAGGAAGACAGAGAAAGTAGAGGGGGAGGGAAATCAGATTGCCTCAATGTTTGTTTTTTTCTACTATTACAAAAAAATGACAATGTTTTGCCCTGTTCAAGGCAAAGCTGGCAAAGAGCCTGGTGGTGGGCAACTACTGCAGCAACAGTATTTCTCGCTGCCTTAGTTATATTCTGCATACAAGGCACTTCATTAGGTACATGAAGTTTATTATTTCCCGTAATTTTCAGGTCAAGACAGTATCATTATCCTCATTTTTTTTTTTGGATGAGGAGTTAAATGACTTGCCCCAGGTCTTGCAGCTAAGAAAGCATTAGAAGCAGGTTTTACTGCCAGATCTTCTCTAGCTCCAAAGGCTGCACAGCACAGCATAATGGCCAAGAGCATGGGCTCTGGGGCCCTGGAATCTATATTTGGACTCTGATTCTACCACTGAATAGCTGTGTCTCCTTGGGCAAGTTACTTAAACTCTCTGTGCCTCAATTTCCCAACTTGTAAAACAAGAACAAGGACAGTACTGCCTCCCATGGGGATTATAAAGGTTTCTTTGAAAGCTTCTGTACACTATGTTTTATTAATACCTAAATGTGAATTATTATTATTTTACCTTTTATTCCAACTCACTTCAGACTTGTTTATAATTCTTCTCTCTCTCTTTTTTTCTTTTATAGCAGTTGAAATTATTCTCTCAAAGCAGATTTTGTGTCCAGCTAGAGTAGCTCAGTAGTTGAGTGTTGAGTGTTGCGGTCTGATTCCCAATCAGGGCACATGCCCAGGTTTTGGGTTCAATCCCCAGTGGGAGATGTGAAGAGGCAGCTAATCAATGGTTTTCTTTCATTGATTTCCCCCCCTCCCCCTTCTTTCTCTCTCCCTCTACCTTCCTCTCCAAAATCAATCAATCTAAAAAAAGCAGACTTTGAGCAATTATAATCTCACTCACGGACATGCATTTCAGTTTATATGATAAAGAAACTTCCTAGGATTTCTGAGCTCCCAGGCTCACCCCGAAGGTGGGAACCAAACATTCATTCAGTCTGGTGTGTCACAGCCTTCCTAGGGCTCCTAATGGGACTTATTGACAGGCTATGATTAGGAATGTGAAAGACACACATCAAACCCCCACACACAGAGATGGAAAATGGCTGGGGGTGCTTAGGCTTGCACATGGAAAGTAGAGAATAATATGGTTAAGATAAGGAAAATAAATTCCAGGTCTTTCCTTAAATATATGCTCTGAATTACTGGAGGAGGAGGAGGAGTTATTGAGTTCTCTGATAACCTATAAAGTAGGAAAAGCACTGGATTAAGTGTCAGGAGACATGGACTCTGCTCTTGGTACTTCCACTTAATTGCTGTGTGCCCTTGGGCAAGTCACTTAACTTCTCTGACCATTAGTTCCTTCTCTTTTCAAATAAGGATAAAGAAATCTGCCCTTCCTGCCTCACAAGGTATTTTTTTCCAGTTAAATGAGAAAATGCTTATGAGAATCTAGAGGTTATACAAACATGGAGCAGTCTTGTTAGCCCCCTGCTGGCAGTTAAGCAGCCCCTGGGAGGCCATACCTACGAGGTCCCTGTTCTCATGCTCTTTCCTTTCCCAGACCCAGTGACAGAAATGAAACACCCAAGATCTGGGAACTGGGATGAGCCCTAGAGGTAGAAATGATTCAGCAGTCTACGGCCATGCCACCCTGAACGCGCCTGATCTTAGAAGCTAAGCAGGGTCGGGCCTGGTTAGTACTTGGATGGGAGAAATGATTCAGCAGCTCCAGTCCAGTGCTGGGGCTGGGTCCTAAGGGTTGGCTTGTCTAACTCCTGCTTTTGTGTGAGGCTGCAGAGGAGAGAAGTGGGGGGAACCTGCCAAGTCATCTCCTTCCCCCTCTGCTGTGTTTACACTCACGTGCTCCCTGGCTTTCATTCTCATTTCACGCATGGTGTGTGTGGAAGATAACAAACTGCCTCTTCTAAGGTGTAGGCCCCATGGCTGGAGTTGACTGTCAGCTTGGTTTTCATGGGGCTTGAGTTTGGACGAACTCTGTGTGTGTGTGTGTGTGTGTGTGTGTGTGTGTGTATGTTTTCAAGTTTGCACAAGGACCTACATTTTAAGGCCATGCTGTCTGATATAAAAACAACATGTGGCTAGTTAAACTGAAATTAGCTTTAATTTTTAAAAAACTGAAAATTCACACTAGTTCCTAGTTGCACATTTCAAGTGTTCAACAGTCATATTTGGCTGCTGGTTACCGTGTTGGAGAGCACATATGTAAATATTTCCTCCATCACAGAAAGTTCCATTAAAAAGAGGCAAAAAAAAAAAAAAAGTGTCAAATAAGTAAGGATGTGATGATGCAGTGTGTGTGTGAGAGAGACCAAAATTGACTACTGCAGGCAAAGTCTATTTAATCTTATAAACAACAAATTCTTTCAATGGAGCAATGAGTTAACAAAGTTCACAGTTTTTTTCGGTTAGTGGCATTGAAACATCAAATTTCAGTAATGTCCTTCATTGGAATTCTGCTTGGTTTGGGGTAATTGTGAGAGGTAATCCCACGTTTTCCTGAGAACTTCACTGCGAATGAAGGTCAGTTTAACAGACGTGTAAGGCCAGAAAGAGTCTCTAAAATTTTTTTGTTTTGGTTTCTCCTCGATGTTGCCTCCCTGCCCCACCAGAGTCCCAGAGCTTCAGGTCTCATTTGTGTCATGCAGAAGAAAAAGCTATGACAGTTTTATAGATTTCTCTTTTACTGCAGGAGATCACCACTCCCCAAATCTCTTCCCATTTAGCTTCTCCCTTGGAGGAACTCCTGAGTCCTGGTGAACATCAACACTAGAGCATCCCCCCTGTCTTCTTAAACACCCAGCATTGAGAGAGAAAATGAGCGAGCCCTGAACCGTTACCTGGAAAGGTATCACCAGGTTGACAGCTTCTCCAACTCTGCGGATATAGGTTTGCTTCAGATGCCGTGGGATGCGAATCTTTGGAGGCTCTGCGAGAGAGGAGCAAAGCACAATTCTGTGATCAGTCTAGTGCACAGGAAATAGCCTTATATTGGCATGCTGACATGACATTCACTACTCGTCTCTGCAGTAAAACTTAGATGGGCCCCTAATAGATTATATAGGGCAGTGATTGGCAAACTCATTAGTCAATAGAGCCAAATAGCAACAGTACAACGATTGAAATTTCTTTTGAGAGCCAAATTTTTTAAACTTAAACTTCTTCTAATGCCATTTCTTCAAAATAGACTCGTCCAGGCTATGGTATTTTGTGGAAGAGCCACACTCAAGGGTCCAAAGAGCCTCATGTGGCTAGTGAGCCACAGTTTGCCTACCACGGATATAGGGTAACTCTGGTTCCAATTGTTTTCTTCCAAGAAATGTTTTAACAGTTTAACACACACACAAAAAAATTATCCTTAATCTCTTTGATTTTATTGAAACTTCCTATTTTTATTGCCATTATAAGCCTAAAGCAACTTTATAGAAAAACACCAAATTTTCTCTTGGAACCTTATACATATTTTTCATAGTGTCCAATAGGAGTATGTTCTCCAATGAACAGTCCATTAAAGGTCTATAAACACCGTATTAGCTGGTAAAACTGCCTATTCTTTCTTACCAGACCAAAAAATAAAAAATAAAAATAAAAATGATTTAGCACCGAGGACTTGCTATTGAGATGATCCTGTTGGCATTTTATAGTAATTTTCTCCTTTGTGCTATCATGAACTGCACAATAGGCAACTCTAGCACACTGTGTATTAATGTCCATTCATTTAACACCAAGAAGATACTAGAACATGCTGCTGCAAATCCATTAGGAGCAGGGAGTCAAAGGCTCATGGGCTCACAGGGATGATGCAGGTCTCATCATTTGGGTGCTCATATGTGACAGTCATGGGGCTAAATGCTTCTCATGTTGGGACCAATTTAAACCGTAGGGGCTATGTACTGTTTTACTTTATAATAAAGAAATGGGGGCATAGGAGTTAAGGAACTTGCTCTTGGCGACACAGGCAGGATTAGAACCCGGGGTCAGCCTGAGGGCCCATGCTCTGCTTAGAAGCACAGACTGCAGTCACAGACCTGGTCACAGACTCCTGTTCTGTAAACTGAGGATAATAACAGCATCTAATTTGTAGGATTGTTGTGAGGATGAAATAATGTTATGCATGTAAAACATTTAGCACAATGGTCAAGAATAGTAAACGTTAGCCCAGCCGGCGTGGCTCAGTGATTGAGCATTGAACTATGAACCAGGAGGTCATGGTTCAATTCCTGGTCATAACACATGCCCAGGTTGCAGGCTTGATCCCCAGCAGGAGGCAGCTGATCAATGATTCTCGTCATTAATGTCCTCTTTCTCTCACTTCCTCTCTGAAATCAATAAAATATATTAGAAAAAAAGAATAGTAGTAAACTTTAGGAGATAATGATGATATTGATGATGTCGATGATGAGGACAGAATGTTGGAGTTGGAAGAGAATCTGCAGATGCTCCAACTCCCTGACTTGACGTGTGAGGAAAAAGAGACTCAGTAAGGATAATCAGAAAACTGGACCACCATTATAATAAAAGCTAACACAGAGTGAGGGCTTAGCATTCCGTGAAAGAAGCAATATGGATTCATTTCTTGAATTCTCATACCTCTTGAGGTAGTAAAAACGATTGCTGTCTTCATCCTGCAGATGAAGGTTCAAAAAGATCAAGTCTCTTACCATAGAGCTAATAAATGATGGAAACATTTTTTAAGTTTTAGACTGCTGTCAAGTCCGTGGTGATGGGTAACATTTTTCCAAAATTCTAATTTCTGCTGAAAAGCTCATTTTTTTTTATTTCATTGACAAGTTGACAACCAACAGTGTAAATTGTTTTCCTTGAAGTGACAGGCTCACGCCATTCATTTTCTAGAAAATGTCTGCCAGGTAACTAAATCTGACAAGACATTGTTTGTCCCAGGGTCATCTCATGAAACAAGTCACTAGTTTAGCCTCTAATTCAGTTGAAGGCTCTTCCTAGAAACAACCATTATACTATGGTACACAGCACAGGGCGTCATGCGTACTGTGCATTTTATTGTTGCAGAGTATAGGGAAAAAAGTGTACTCAAACACCACACTTTCATAATACTAATGATTTTATGCCACATCAAGAACACTCCAAGGCAATACTGGCCCTTTTAATTTAGCTGCAAGTGCATGGTGGGGAGGAAGGTAAGAAAGAGTAACAGTCAGTGGCACTGACTTGATCCACACCAAGGCCCCAGCAGTTTTACCCATGACCTCTTTCACACCATTAGAGCAGATGTCAAACAGTGTGTCCAGATTACTAGTTCTCTTTCTCTCTCAAGTCAATGGTAAAGGACCCAGTGAGGCTAACTAACTGGTCCTCATACCAAGTTATAAACCCAGGCTACCCTCCACACTACCTGAAAAGAGATGTGTGGTTCTTTGTTGTTTTTTATTTATTTTTTTAAAAATAGGTTTTTATTACTTTAGAGAGAGTGAGAGAGAGAAACTTCAATGAGAGAGAAACATCATGGGATCAGCTGTCTTCTGAACACCACCTACTGGAGATGGAGCCTGAAACCCAGGCATGTGCCCTGACTGGGAATCTAAGCAGTGACCTTTTAATGCATGGGCCAGTGCTCAACCATTGAGCCATACAGGCTGGACTGTTTTGTAATTTTCAGCTCCCAGGAAGCATGAATACAATATCAAAGAAGTGATAATGAAATAGAAAGTTTTGAAGAAGAAAGGGATTTGAGGAATAAAAACAAATAATGTAAAAGGGAGACACCATGTTGAAAGGCTCACCACCTACCTATGATTTCCTTCACAAGGATGGGCTGAGAGTAGTACTTGGGCTCGCTGGCACCGGCTGCGTTCACAGCCTTCACACGCACAAAGATCTTGGCATCCGTGGGCAGACCCGTGATGGTGAACTTGGTCTTGTCAATCAGATCTGTGTTGGCAACTATCCAGTCCTCAGCTAAAACCCATAAAAAAAAAAAAAAGAAGAAGGCAACACGGTGTTTAGAGGAACAATAATCTTAACCAGAACAGTCAACTCCAAGTTAGTATTTTACTCATAATTACATCATTTGGCCTGGACTCAGACCACGTATGTGGCTGGGCATTTTTCATACTTGAAAAATGAAAAATGGCCTCGACCGGCTAATGCAAGTAACAGGAAGAAGGACAGTCAGATTCTGTTATTTCTGAAAAAACTCTATTCAGGAAACTAGGGTCTCTTGCATAATAACTGCCCCAGGGAATTTGGCAGCAGTTGTACAATGAAAGATGTAACCATGATATCTAGTCATCCATGTACATTAAAGTCCAGAAACACAGGAAAACGTTATTCTTATGAATGAGAGACAGAATGGTGTAGTAACTTTCCAGTCATATAATCTCTCTGGCTAATCAGATGCTAGTTTATTACTATGAGATGCAAACACGAGGACAGGGAATCTGATCATGCTCCCATTTATGAAGACAATACCCATGAAGCGCAGGGGCCGAGACCTCCTAAGGAGTTGGCATAATTTTTCCACCTCCAGCCAGCATCCAGGGCTAATAACTATCCCAGCTTCTAAAAGTTCCTATGCATTATGCCCACAGGACAAAGAAAGGCTTGGATCCCACATTATGAACTCCCTGCCCGCGCCCGCCTCCCTCCATCTCTAAGGACTTCCCTTGTGTGTACGGATGGTGGGTGTACTTCATGCTGGGCTATGGGCATATTCCCAGAAACTTATTCATAGAGTAACAAAGTGTGAAAGCTTTCAGAGAATACTTTACCTGACGACAGATCATATGCGGCCTCCCCATTTTCACCAGACTGTTTTGCTGATGTACCTTTGAGAATCCGCCATTAAAATTAATTAAAGACACCCACTGTCACACCAGAAGACTTATGTATCAGTAGTCAGCATTCTCTGTTAGTAAAGTATGCAAAGTATGCAAAGATATTTGTCTTCAGAGCAGTGACGGAAGAGACCAAACACGTTAAGGGGGGGGAGGGGCAGGATTGATTCCTGAGGAGGGTCGTGGCCTGCTTTGCTCAGACTGTGGTTGTTGTCCTGTGGCACCGACCACAGAGAAGAGGAGGAGAAAGGAGCCTGAAGCACCTCCAGCTGTGGGAATAAGAGGTAGAGAAGAACCAGGCAAGACCCTGAAGAGAAGGGAGGAACAGGCCCTAGACTCCACAGGGGAGCAGTGCACAGTGGGACAGTCCATCCTTGCTCCGACCCCAGCCACCCCAGCCTGGGAGGGTCCTCCAAGTTCCTATGGAATGAAGTGCTCCTGTGATGGGGCTCATGCATCAGTCTGGGAGTGAGGACACTCATAATAAGGCCAAACCTGGGCTCTAATTCTCAAAGGCAATGAAAACTGCCCCGGCTGCTGAGGAGGCAGCCCCTGGTTGCCGCGAGAGCAAGCTGTTGGTCAAGAAGACAAGGGAGCCAGCTGGTCTCTGCATTCTGCAAGAGTGGACGGGATGGTGTTGGCTCACAGGGTGGTCATGGGAACACCCCGCTGGTGTGGCATGATGTCTTTCTGGGTATCTGGACTGCACTGGTTCCCATGGAACTTTCTCTCCTGTCTTATTCCAACCCTTCTAGGAGTACTAGCATCAGGGAGAAGGAACAGGAAGCCAGAATATCCTGGTGTCTGGGATTGTATGGTTTTTAAAATATATTTTATTGATTTTTTTTTACAGAGAGGAAGGGAGAGGGATAGAGAGTTAGAAACATCAATGAGAGAGAATCATTGATCAGCTGCGTCTTGCACACCCCCACACCCCCCCACTGGGGATGTGCCCACAACCAAGGTACATGCCCTTGACCGGAATTGAACCTGGGACCTTTCAGTCCGCAGGCTGACGCTCTATCCACTGAGCCAAACCGGTTTTGGCAATGTGTATGTTGATAATAAAAGTGATTTAGGACTTTGAAAAGAGAGATACATCTTTAAGCCAGTGGTTGGTTTAGGGACTACTGTGTTGACATTTTCATAGTCCAGAGACAGTTGATGAGCAAGTGAAATCGGGAGGCAGAAAACGTGCACGAAAGAGCAAAGAACTAGTCAAGAAGAAAATTTTAAGAGAAAACAGGATGCAATGGGACCCGAGGGGAACAAAACTAGCTGATCCCTTCACCTTTGAACCACTTTTGCTGAGGGAGACAAAGAGAAGAAGGAGCGAGAGTGAAGGAAGAAAACAGAAGAGTAAAATGTTGCAGGTGTTAAACAACCCAAACAAACAAGAGAAAGGCAGAGTCAAAACCAACACACCATCTTATAGAAGAAAGAGTTCTCTCACAGGATAAAACCTGACATGTCGAAAAGCATTAAACACTACAGAAAATTAGTCTGGAGAACAACAGCCATTAAAAAAGAATGAAGAATAGGTCAGCCACGTGAAAGAAGTAAGAAAAGACTGCAAGAAAAAAGATGTACACGTTCCATAGAAAGCTAATTTCAAAACGTTATGTGGCAAAATCTATACTTAATAATGACTGTGTACATATATATATGTATAGGCTTATACATATATATCTACACAGACCACACACAAAATCATGTAAAATACACTTCGTTGTATTTTATCTAAGGTGGGCAACATCAAAATGACAGCCATGTATCATTTTGCTGTGTCTTCTTACTTTTTAGACCTATCAGAAAGAAAAGAGTAAAGAATTTGCTCCGTGTCATACATATACAAAAGGTTCATGGTCAGCAGCCACAGCACATATAAGATTGGGGAATTCTGGGTGATATAGACAACAGAGTGAAGTGCTCATGATTTTTTGAAATGGGGAGGGGGGGGGAGAGGAGGGAATGCAATGGAAATTAACCATATTAAGTTCTCAAGAGTTTATCTGTTGCCCCCCTCCCATGCTGGGATAATTCTGGGAACTTTCTTAGAATGTCCCCACTGGTTTTGGTTAGTGGCTTCCTAAGCCCCGGAGAAATAAACCCAGTGCTCTGTGGGCTCAGCACATGTAAATGGAAATGAGTGTTACCAGGCCTCATCCCCCCTCCTCTTCTTCCCCGCTGACCACCCCCGGTCATTTCCACAGGTGCCCCGATCCAGGGCCAGGGCTTTCTTTCTCGGCAGTTTTCTCTTCATAAGAAGTTTCCTCTCCATCACGGTGTTGCCTCCTGGGGAGGTGCATTTGTAGTCACACTCCTGGTTTCCCAAGTGTGCTCCGTGGCTTCTCTGTCCTTCGTGTGAGACCCAAGTTAAAGGTTGGGATCCAAAATGTTTTCCTAAAGGCTACCCCTTGGCTCATCCTTTGTGGGTACGAACGTGCTTCCCTGAGGAGTGGTTTACCTACCATCGTCCAGCATGGAGCCCGAGTCTGGAGCTGGGGCAGTTTGATTCATACATTTTCAAACCACGACAAGTAGGAATTCAAGAAACATTAGAGGCTTTGAGTGAATTTCACCTCCTTTTTGGTTTTCGGTACCCTCTGGCCCATATTTTCTTGGGCCGTGTTCCCTTTTTTCTATGGTTGTTATCAGCAGTTGTTTTCCCGTTTCTTTTCTGCTCTTAAATTTGAGTGATTGCATGTTTAGGTAGGCAAAGCCCTGAGAGGAGTTACTGCCACATGTGCAATCCGTTTGGGACTCCATGTGAGATTTAAACACTAAAAAAGTTGTCCTTAATTCTTCTTCCCCCTTTTGGTTTCCCACTTTAGAAGGCAGGGGATGATCACCAAAGAGCCAAGTAGATATGTAGTGGCTCTTCATTCCCCAGAAAGAGGCAGCTCTTTTGATTGCTGACCTCTGCTCAGTGTAGGGTTGAAATTTTCAAATTTGCTTCATTCTAACTAGACTTTAAACTTTTGTTTTGCTTTGGTACAACTTAATCCCACCAATTCAAGAACTGGAAATCCCTGAACTATTTTCGGCATCCTCCCCCTCCTATATCTTGACTTAGGTCAATGGTGCTGTCCCATCGGGCAGCCAAGCTAGGATATTTTTGAGATCTTAATTTGCTAGCCTCGAGTGTCAAAGAAGGGCTAAATTTTTATCCATCTTAGGAGGATGACCTTTGGCTTGTCATTTTCAGGAGGCAGGAGGTGAGTTCCCAAGAGAGAGAAACAAAAGAAAGTGGGGGTGGGGGCATATCTCACCTAGTGATGATGGTATTATTCATTGTAACCAGGAGTTGTACTTACTTCCTTCAAGGCAATACTCTAGCACATAGCCATCTAACCCTGCGGCACCGATCTGATCTGGGGGCCGCCACTTCATTGTGACGGTGGTGTCAGTTACATTGTCAACAGCCAGAAGTGTAGGCGGGCTGGTTACAGCTTCAAAGATAAAAGAGACAGAAAGAGAAGAAATTATTAACTGCAGAGGTATCGCAGCAGGAATGGTAATAAAATGAGCGGGGGGGGGGGTAACAAATAAAAATATACACAGAAGATCCACTTAGTAGTAAAATAATTAAATGAAGACTCCTTAAGCATATGCTGTGTGTAAAGATCCACTAGACATGGAAACATTTTATTTTATTTTAAAAAAATATATTTTTACTAGAGGCCCAATGCATGAAATTCGTGCACGGGTGTGTGTGTGTGTGTGTGTGTGTGGTCCCCTCAGCTCAGCCTACGCCCTCTCATAGTCCGGAAGCCCTCAGGTGATGTCCAGCTGATGGCTTTACTGCTGCCGCAGAGGTGGGCAGTTGGACATCCTTAGCACTGCCACAAAGGCAGGAGAGACTCCCGTCATCACCCCTGCGCTCAACAGCCATGAGCCCAGCTTCTGGCTGAGCAACACTCCCCCTGTGGGAGCACACTAACCACCAGGGGGCAGCTCCTCATTGAGCGGGATCAGGTAGAAACCGGATCTCTGACATCCCCTGAGGGGTCCCAGATTGCAAGAGTGTGCAGGCCAGGGAGGGATGCGGGAAGTTGGCCAGCCAGGAAGGGACGCGGGAGGTTGGCTCCAGGGCATGTCTGGCCCATCTCACTCAGTCCCAATCAGCTGGACCCCAGCAGCAAGCTAACCTACTGGTCAGAGCATCTGCCACCTGGTGGTCAGTGCACATCATAGCGAGCGGCTGAGTGGCCTTAGCATATCATTAGCATATTAAGCTTTGATTGGTTGAATGGATGGCCAAACACTTAGCATACTAGGCTTTTATCATATAGGATTGATTTCAGAGAGGGAGAAAAAGGGAGAGATAGAAACATCAACACTGAGAGAGAATCATTGATCGGCTGCCTCATACATGCCTCACATTGGGGATCGAGCCCACAACCTAGGCATAACCTCCTGATTCACAGGTCAGTGCTTAACCATTGAGCTATGCTGGCTGAGGAACATGGAAATATTTCAAAATACTGCCACATGTTCCCTCTGATTTGGGAGGTTAGTGTAGAGGCTCGGAGGTCCTAGGAAGTAAGTAAAAAGTCAAAGTTTGGGATCTAATGACCTATAATACATTTCCCATAACTCTCTAAATTACAAACTCTTATATTAAGTCTTTCTATTGGAAAAAAAAAATCACTACCATAAAATAGTGAAGGCCTCACCATCTGTTTCTTTGTCTTTGCTGAACTGATTTTTTGGGGTCCATAGATAACACTTAAGATGTGCTTGTAAAGCAAAGACTAGTTCTAAAGGGCGTTTCGTTGAATGGATCATAATCTGTTTTAGTTACAGTGTTTACACAAGGTGCTGGGTTTTACCTTCAGAAGGACAAATGGTGTGTGGTCATGTGTCAGTGAGTTCAGCAACATGTTTTCAGTGGGAAGCACAAACTGGAGCCACCTGCAGCTGTCATTGGAATTCTGGCCATGAATTCCATGGCCAACATTAGGGAGACATTCAACTCTTATCAAATTTCTTACCACTCCTCACCACCTCCAACCTCCTGCTCACCCACCACTCTAAAGAAACCTCCAGATAGGCTCCAGTTGGAGGTCAGAAGGAAGCAGTCATAATCTGGGATAATGATTTCCAGGAAAGAACACATCTCTCCTGACTTACCCAAAGGAACAAATGGCTTGGAGGGCATACTGGGCTTGGAGATGCCGATGGCATTGACGGCGAAGATACGGACCTCGTAGGCCACTCCTTCAATCATTTTTTTGGGCTCAAAAGTTGTTTCTTTGCAGAGCTCAAAATTCAGCCTCATCCACCTGGAGCTTTGTTTCTTTTTCCTCTCAATAAAGTATCCTACAGATGACATAAAATAGAAATGCAAGTTTTTTTTTTCTCCTTGGTCTCCAAAACTATACTTTGTCAGATATTAGAAGTTCCTTTAATTTTCCAATAGTCTCTGCATTCTAAGTCAAAGAGTCATGTATGTCATTTTTAAACCACCTCATTTCATCAGTTGTTTGAGATTAAAGGGAATACAAGTATCAATAGCATAGGATAAAGAAAAAAAATAACAATACTAGAAAAAAATTAGAATTGTACTAAGAAGAAAAGAGAAAAATAGATAATAGATATGTAGGTCATACCAATTTATAGAGTTGGTAAGACCAACTATTGAGCAATAAATTTAGCTCTGAGTCCAAACAATATGAAGGGAAAATGACCAGTTTTTTGAGTAAGTAGAAAAGAGTGTTCCATAGGAAAAGCACGTTCTCCCAGTATTTAACTCTAAAATAAATTTCCCCATAGATACCATTCTACAAAACTAGACATTTACTTACTAAAATGGTTTAAAGTTAAACTCATAGTGGTTCAATATAATTAAATATTATGTCAAATATAAATGTCAACCAAAGAAGAGAATACACAGTCATACAATATTCATCATGACTATTAAAACCCTTGAATATGTACAGAGCATTCTAAAATATAATATTTCATTTTGAAAGGATATGTAAAGACAGTATAATAAATTTTCTTCTAAATATCACATTTTTAATGTACTCTGTACTAATGTCTAATGTACTCTGTCCTAATGTGCACAGAGGACATCAACTCCTGTGCAGTTCCACAGGCTGACCAGCATGCAGTTACCCAAGATCGGGGACCCTCCATCGTAGGCAGGAGGCTCCCAGTTCATGATGCACCAATCATCTCCCACATCTGTCACATTTGGTGCCACTGGAGGATCAGGGATGTCTGTAGCAAACAAAAACATAGAATAAAATAAGAAAGAGAGCACGTGCAAAGAAAAATATTAATTGGAAAATATACTTTTTGGTGATGATCATAGAAGCAGTGTTATTTCTGAGAACTTCTGCATGTTTAATGGAAATGCATTTAGTAACTAATTCAGGCAAAAACTCATGCTCCATCTGAGATACGAGAAGGTAAGCCAAATAAAAAATATGAATCCTTTAAAGTAGTGTCACAACTTAGATAACAAGGCCCACATGGAACCCAAGACTCTTGTTCTTTACCTTGAGAATAGTAACTAAGAAACAAAATGTCCAATGTGATTTTGTTTTCTTTTTATAACTACAACATGATCTTCCAGCAGAACTGAATCCAGGATGGTTTATTGTGAATTTTATAATACTTGAAAGATTCAAGATGTCCACTGATAAAAATCCAAATAAAAATGATGTCATATCTTATAAATATAGTGCCTGATTAAATGACCTTAGTTTATGGTCAATTTGAAATATGTTTAAGGGACATCTGAAGTGTGATAAAGAATTCGTGAAACCTAGGATCACCATTAATCTGCTAGACTAGTGGTCAGCAAACTACGGCTCTCGAGCCACATGCTGTCTCAGTTACTCATTCCTGCAGTATGTCCTCCATGCCACAAAAAAAGAGAAAGGAAAGAAAAAGAGAAGGAAAGAAAAGAAGTGTCAAAGATAAAGAAAGACAGTGATTTATAATATAGAGCCAAAATATGTTTCTCTTTGTTGCCTACCCAGAAATGTTGAGAGAATCAAGAGCTGATGGTGTACTCATGATCTAAACATGCCAACTTGTTTTTAAAAGTTTACTGATCCAGTGGACTTACCACAACTTATAGATAGATAGATAGATAGATAGATAGATAGATAGATAGATAGATTTCAGAAAGAGGAAAGGAGAGGGAGAGAGAGATTGAAACGTCAATGATGAGAGAGAATCATTGATCGACTGCTCCCTGCACATTCCCCACTGGGGATCGAGCCCAAAACCTGACATGTGCCCCTGACCAGAATCAAACCTGGGACCCTTTAGTCCACAGGTCAATGCCCTATCCACTGAGCCAAACAGGATAGGGCGACCTACCCACAACTTTAATCTTGATGCTGGCATGTGCTTCTCCAGCTTCATTTTTCAGATTTATGTTGTAAACACCAGAATCATCTCTTTCAGCGGCATCGATAACCAGAGTGCTGCTGTCAGGGTAAGATTCTGCCCTTATCCGGCCACTGCCCTCCATGATGGCCTAAGGAGGAAAGAAATAAAATGTGGCATGACCTAGACAACAGCAAGGACTATACTGGAGTGCCGTATAACCTAAGCTGGACAAGGTACTAATGCCTAAAACACACATTCTTAGTTTAATCTTCCATCAACTCTAAAGACAAAGGTATCATCCCAATGTACACATGAGAACACTGTGGCCCATGGCGACACGGCTAAGAAGTGGTTTATCTTGGTAAATTTTCCATGTGCTTATTAACATAATGCCCATTATGCTTTTTCAATGGAGTATCCTATAAATGTCAATTAGTTCAAGATGGTTGATAGTGTTCTTTGAATCTTCTGTATATCAATAATTGCCTACCTTCTTGTTCTATGAACTATTGAGAGAAGAATATTGAAATATCTAATTTATATATTTATATATTTCTCTTTATATTCAATTTTATATCTTGCTTTCCCTCCTTATTGGTCCCATCTGTTCTTCATGCTTCTTTACTGCCTTTCTTTTGAATTAATAAATGTTTTGGTAATTGCATTTTATGTCCTTTGTTGGCTTATTAGCTATAAATCATTTTTTTTATTTTAGTAGGTCCTATAGGGTTTATAGTATACATCCTAAACTTTTCATGGTCTACCTTCACATGACATTATAATAGTTCATGTATCCCATAGAAAAGAAACTTATTATAGCACACTTCCATTTTATTTCTACTGATCCTTACTTCCATTTCTCCTCACTTGACCTTACGTTTCGATTGTCATAAATTTTACTTATTCCTATGATATAAGTCACACAATACATTGTTATTATTTTTCAATCAATTATCTTTTTAAGAGATTTAAATATTGAAAAACCTCTTATATGTTTATCTATTAAATGTAGTTTCCATTCCTGATTGTCTTTGTTCCTTTGTGAAAATGTTTCATCTGATATCCTTTTCCTTCTAACTTAAGGACTTCTTTTAGCATTTCTTATAGTTCAGGTTTGCTGCTGATTTTTTTTTTTTTTTTTTAGATTTTATATATCTGAAAATCATTTTATTTTGCCTTCATTTCTAAAAAGTATTTCTGTCGAGTATAGAATTCTAGATTGAAAGTATTTTTCTTTAAAGATGTTGCTCCACTGTATTCTCACTTGCCTTGCTTCCAGAGAAATCTGAAGTCATCCTTGCCTATGTTCCTTATGTATTAAATGTGACTTTCTCTTTCTACTTTTAAGGTTTTTTCCTACTCACAAGCTTAGAGCAATTTAATTATGATGAGTCTTAGAGTCATTTTCTTAATGCTCCTTGTGCTTAGTTTTTATTGAGCTTCTTGTATCTGCATTTATAATTTTTGTCAAATTTGGAAACATTTTGACTATTATTTCTTTAAACAGTTTTCTGACCCTCTTTCAAGACTCCAGTTGTACTGCTTGAAGTTGTTCCATGGCTCAATGATACTTTTTTTCCCCTCTAGAAAATAGAAAAGGAGAAAAATACTCTCTAGCTCTTGGATGATGATGATAATAACTATGATGAAGAAGAATAAATTAGTTTTAGGTTTACTTCAAAACTGAACAAACAGTTCAGAGAGTTCTCATATAACTCATCCCTACATATGCACAACCTCTCCCACTATTAACACCCATGCCAGAGTAGCACATTTGTTACAGTAGCACATTATTATCACTTAAAGTACATAGTTTACATTAAGATTCACTCTTGGTGTTGTACATTCTATGAGTTTTGACAAATCTATAATGATAAGTATCCAAAATTATAGAATCATATGGAGTAGTTTTGCTGCCCATAAGACATCCTATATAATAAAAGCCTAATATGCTAAGTGTACCGTCATCTGGTTAGCCATTCAACCAATCAAAGCATAACATGCTAATGATATGCTAAGGCCACTCAACTGGTCACTATGATGTGCACTGACCACCAGACAACCTGTCAACCATTCACTATGATGTGCACTGACCTTCAGGGAGCAGATGCTCTAACTGGTAGGTTAGCTTGCTGCTGGGGTCCAGCCGATCAGGACTGAGCGAGATGGGCTGGACATGTCCTGTAACCCTCCCTTGATCCCTCCCCAGCTGGTCAACCTTCTGCGTCCCTCCCCGGCCCCAATCCTGCACCAATGGGGTTCCTTGGCCTGGTCTGTACCCTCTCATAATCTGGATTGAGGGACCCTCTCCCCAGTGCACAAATTTCATGCACTGGGCCCCTAGTTTTATATAAGAATACATAGGGTTATATATGAGCTGATACTACTCTACCACTACAACCTTATTATTATTTCCCTCACTCTACCCCAGTAACAATGGCTTTCTTTTTATTATTCCAACACATCAAATTCATTCTCTCCTTTTATCCTTCGCACCTGCATTGACTTTACCTGAAAATCTTTCTCCTTTGATCTTCACATAATGGGTTCCTTGTTGTCATTCAAAGAGGCTTTTGTCATTCATCACATAGTCACTTGCTAATTATATTAGCCTATTTTTGTTTACCTTTCATAGCACTTATTACTATGCAAAATAATTTTATCCATCTATTTATTTAAATAATTCATTGCCTCTTTCTCCTTCATCCCATTTCCTGACATTCATTAGAATGATATATAGAATCTTGTTCACTGAACACAAAAACATGCCAGGTCACATAGAAGGTAGTCACATATGTGAAAGGTAAATGAATGATTAGTACATTTGCCTAAGAATCAGTGATCTTTATCAAAAAAATTACATTGTTGCTGTACCCCTGTACATTTATTTGCTTCTTCTTTCATCTAACTATTGGAGGTCAGGAAGTGGGGTGGGCAGTGTGTGTGTGTGTGTGTGTGTGTGTGTGTGTGTGTGTGTATGTGTATATGCGCGCATGCGTGCGCATGTATGTAGAACAAACCTTATCTGCTCGGCTCCAAATAACTTTAGGAGGAGGTTCTCCACTGATGGGAATCTCAAGACGAAGCTTGTTCCCTGCAATTACTGTTACTGTATTGTCAGCATCAAGACCATCCAGGTTGATTTTAGGAGGATCTGGAATATTAAACATGGCCTTTGTTATCAGACAGTCATTCTCATGTGAATATCTGGGCTAGTACTTGGCTAGTGCTAAACATTGGTAGTAATCAGTATTTTTTTAAAAATATATATTTTTTGATTTTTTTACAGAGAGGAAGGGAGAGAGAGAGCTAGAAACATCGATGAGAGAGAAACACTGACCAGCTGCCTCTTGCATACCTCCCCGCCCCCCAAATGGGGATGTGCCCGCAACCAACGTACATGCCCCCGACTGGAATCGAACCTGGGACCTTTCAGTCCACAGACCGACGCTCTACCACTGAGCCAAACCGGTTTCGGCAGTAATCAATATTTTATCGGGCCAAAAAGAATGTAAGAGGAGTCAGTATAGATGGTACTGGCACCTTTCAAAACTACTTCATAGTAAGATTTTTTAAGAATTAACCATATGGTTGTCATTAATAACAGTTCATGTATGTTTTTCTTTAAACATCACATAGTTTTGAATATGTTACAATTCCAAAGTATGCAACAACAAAAATCAAAGAACAGGATTCTCCAAAGGTTACTTTTATCTACTCACCAATAACGTGAACTTTGGCAGACAAAGTTTCAGGGTAGTCATCTGGTGTGAATACATATTCACCTTCATCCTCAATGAGAGCATTGTCTATCACTAATTTGTGGATTCTAAGGAAACGAGAAAACCATATTTCTAAGACTTTGCAAAGATTTAGATTGTATATGACCCAAACTGAGGAGGAACCTGGCTTTTATCTGGTTAACTTGTTTAGTGCAGTTTGGAGAGAGAGAGAATAATGTGAAGTCTTAATTTTCATATGTATTGGTCCATATTAAATACCTATTTTAGACTAATGTAGTTATCTCCTCAAATACAACTTACTTATTAAGCAAGAATCTCTCTCTCTTTTTTTTAATCTCAAAGCATTAAAAAGGATAAAAGAAAATATCTCACTGATACCATACTTTAAGATTCAAGAAATTATTAAGAGTAATCTTGACTTTGGCTTTATATACCAAAACTAAGAGTAATACTTCTTAACTTTATTGAGGTCATGAGCCAGTGAAAATCTGATGGCCACTATGGATCTTCTTGCTGGAGAAAAACAAGTATTTTTGTACACACAAAATTTGCTAAACATCTCAGAGGATTTATGAGGGCCCTTAAAGTTCATTCATGATATCATTAGGATCCATAGATCCAAGTTTGAGAACCCATGCCTTAGAATTTTTTTTTTTTTGCTAGATTCTAGGATAATATGGCCTCCTCCGTCCCTGAACCTCCCCCCCGCCCCAAAGGAAGAGTTAATCCATTTTGACCAGTCCCTCAATTAGAATTCAGTATCATTCCTCTAATGTCATGTTTAGATAGAAAGAATCAGTCAGTGGGTTTTGAATAGACAAAGCACCATATTGTAAGGTGCGGGTCACAGGTGGGACATGATGTATAACAGAGAAATCATACGCTCCTGCTATTTGGCAGCAATGAACCGGAAATAGATTATTTTCCTTGGAGGGCTCTTCAAACATTCTTGCCAAGAAGGGGAGAAAGTAAAGATCGGGATCATCTTTCGCTTCGGATTGCCTAGCTTGCTTACCTTCCTTTGTGTACAACCTTGATGCGGTCACTCTCCTGAACAGGTAGCCCATTTTTAGTCCATTTTCCTGTAATGTTTTCAGACACTTCGCACTTCAAGCAGACTTCTTTTCCAAGTTTTGCAGTCTGATCAGTTAGAGGGGTCAATATTTTCAGAGGCTTCACTACAAAAGTAACAGACCACTATCAGTGCCAAGCCCAATTCAGACAGGCAAAGATGGTGTCATTTCACAATGGTATGGCCAGTTTTGCTATTCAGGATTGCTTTGAAAATGAGAATTTGTTCCAGTGCAATTAATATATTAAGGGGGCAACTGTAGCGTAACACAAATTTCATGTTTGATTGCATATGATTTCATTTGTGACAAAGATTAGGTGAATTAAAAAAAAAATTGCGCCCAGCTGAGCTGAGCCAGGTAGGACTATACAGAATACCCCCCACATACCCTCGAGCTACCTCAGGCCACCCATGTGATATGAGCCACATCCATGCACAACTGAGATTACCACTACCTAATAGCTCACAAGCTGCAACACTTTTGACACTACTTCCATAAGCAAATGTCAATTCCTTTTTGAGGTAAAGTACCACATGCATTGTTCTACTTATTAACCACTTAACACATGTAAAACTGTGCTAATATTTTTGTTAGGTTCTTATTGGGTTTTTGTAAGTTGTATTGCTGACAAAAATGTTGAATATTGTGCCCGTAAATCATTCCTCTCCCCTCCAACCCCCAAGTCCTTTGGTTTTTATTTCATGACTTTGGTTGGATAGCACAGTGATTTTCAGAAATGCATATGTTGCATTATAACAGAACTGACTGTACCTGCTTTAAATAAATACAAATATCAGATAGGGATCTGCCTAAGATTAAAAAAATACACTTCCTCTTTTTTATATATATTAAACTAAAATGGCCACTACTCCAGGAAACATAGGAGTGTATTGAAATTACTTTTGAATAATTTGGTGATCATATGAATTGAAACTCGACTAAGCAAACAGTAAGGAAGTAGGGTTTCTGCTCTGTGTGTATTATCAATCTTCTTGTGAGATCTGCTATTTTAATTTTCATAGCTAACTGAAAGGGACAGACTGCCATTGTGAACTAATAGTGGGTACTTGGGGGAAGTACATTAATTCTCTCATGCCTCTGAAGCATATTAGCAAATTAGCTCTTCAGTATTCTCAATTGAGGCCCATTACTTGAGTAACTCTCATCTCAAATGTAATTGCAGAATGTTGAATCTTTATTTAATGAGCAGATAGCAAGTTCATCTATGGATGAAGCAAACATGATCAAGAGTTGATATCATATCAAACTATTTATCATCTATTATGTGATTTGGAGCTGAAATATTTCTTAACCATGGGTAACTTTTTCTGGCAGATGGCTTTTATCCTTCCCTCTCAATAAAGGTGTTCTACTAGGAACTTGAATAGTTGGTTCTTTTCTCAGAGACCCTGGTTGATAGGACATAGACACACAGCTAGAATGGAATTTAATTTTACATATTTAAAATTGCCACAGGTAGACATCAAATAGATGGAAACTTTTCTACAATGAAGTTAAATGCAACACCACTGGTAAGCCAACAAGAAAGACATCTCAGGAAGTCTTACTTACAGCCAACACTGAGTTTAGCACATGATTGTCCTCCTGTGGTCATTACAGAATATTCCGCACTATCAGCCTTGGTTGCTCCTTCTATGATCAAAGTGTGTTTTTTGCCCTCAATTTTAACTTTGTATCTTGATTTTGGACCAGGGATGATCTCTTCACCATTCTTAAACCTGAGTTAAAATAGATTAAAATGTTTTATAAATGACCCTTCAAGAGATGGGCCTTATTGGCCTTGTTTTCCCAAATACCTGTGTTTTGTAGAATATTTGTCAAGACACCAGACATTCAAGAACTATTTAATGAATTAAAGAATGTATACATCAATCTATCAATAAATTATTATTATGACAAATGTTATCTGAAAAACTACATGAAAAGAACACAAACTCCCTCTTTCCATATAAGTTCAAACAGATGAATATGCTAAGAGCAGATATTACCCATGTTTGGGCCTTTGACGTACACTAGTGAGTATAATGGTTTAATACATTTTATTATTCTAGATTAGGATGAACAATCAACTCTGTGCCAATTACTATAGTCTCCGGCTATGTAATTTACTATACTTCCCAACAAAGCATTTTAATTTAGGATTAAATTAAATATTTTCATCTGACAAAAAAAAAGGTTTTATTTTTAAAGTAATTGGTGATTCTTAGTCTAAAATATTTTTCTGAGGCACTATAATGATAAAATGCTTAGGAATAAAATTTTTATAAAGTATATATTCCATGTAAGTTGCCAGCATGGTATAGTGAGAGGAAGCCTGGCAAAGTGGTGAAGAGCATCTATAGTCTTTGGGGTTGAGCAGGCCTGGCAACCTTGAACCTACTTCCCTACATCCTTACCAATTCAGCTTTTCTGATCTTTTTCAGTTTCGTAAGTAAAAAACAAAGCAGTATCTTATTATAATTTTAGTTACCATTTACACTAAAATGTATGAGACTGGATTCCTTTCATATCTGTAAAAACAATTTCCTATTCTCCAATCTATGAAGGTACACTTTTGTGTGTCTACTAAAAATGAACAGGCCTCATAAAAGATATTTACCATTTTACGTTTGCATCATCTTCAGACACCTCACATTCTAATTCCACTTTCTCCCCACAGTAAGCATTTGTATCTTCCAGCTGCTTGGTCACCATAATTGGAGGCTCTAGTGTGAAAACGAGAGAGAATCAGAATCATTAAATATCCCAAACCTGCCTCACAACCCCAAACCAGAAGTAAGAAAGTATCATACCACAGGTTAGTTTGATGATAGGTGGGTGCAAATGACTTTTCTTGGCAAAATAAATAGCTGACAACACTGAGTAAATTTTCCCAGAACTCATCAAATCAAATAAATTAGTGTTCTAGAGAGCAGACAAAATGTATCAAACATCATTTTGCTGTGGGGAAGGGGGAGGATGGACAAATAAGATACCAGGTGGTAGATATTTCTGATGAAGAAGAACCTTTAAGACTAAAATTCTTTGATTCTGACTCTAGATGGGTGATAGAAATCGCAGAATTGTCTTAAGCAGGGGTCTCACAAAAATAAAAAATAAGGGTGGCTGGCTTTAAGACAACATCTGGTACTTTTCACAATGTCTTAGGAAATGATTCTCTTTAGAGCCCTCAGTGCCAACCGCTGATGCTCCTTTAGTTATAAGCTGGGTTCAAGAGAGATCTGTTTTTTTTTGTTTTTTGTTTTTTTAATCAGCTGAGCATGCGAGATGAGGATTATTCTGTAGACTTCATTGGGTTTCAGAAGGTATAACTAGAATAATTATTTTGTAAGATACTGCTTGCTTGTGTCAAAATCTATTTGTACTGAGCAGTTTTTTCTCTCCTTGGCCTTTCTAGTCTTCAATGAAACTGAAGACTCATTAGAATACACATTAATTGCCAGGGTAGAGTAGCTTCAATACAGAGCCAATCGAGTATCCAAACTAAACCATCTCTAGAGATGCTACTTAGTTCTGTTGTGGAGCTCCAGACCTCACCTCGTCACTTTATTACCCCTGAGAGACAGCCAGGGCTCCTGAGGACTACAGTAAGGGATTTCACTTTACCTCTCACAAAGAGCTCTGTGGAACATTTCTCATCGCCAGCCGTCACATAGTACTCCGAATCGTCGGTGAGCCCACAGTTATTGATAAACATAATTCTTTCACATCCTTTATGTTCAAAAATGTATCTATTTTAAATAAAAGGAAGATAAATAAGAGTCCATAAACCTGATTTTACTCTTTTCTTTCTTGCTAGAAAAGTTGGCTTATAATTTGGTAATGCTTGAAAGACAGGGATATGATTTTGATCTGCCATTTATGAAGCATATCTTACATAGTTTATTGACCATGAAACCACTTTTTATCTTTATAATACAAATGTAATTTTTATGCATACTTATCCACTAATATTTAATTTCAGTCATTTTCTTCTATATAAGGTTTTTATTTCAAATATAAATCAGTGCTCACATATTTTCTATTTAATATTTTTAACCCATTTTTGGAAAATAGGGTTGTCTGAGGTAGAGAGATTGTCAACTCTGAACATTTTTTTAAATCACCAATTTATCTACTTTGTAGAGGGACAGAGCCTTGATCTTATTCACTGACTCATTGATTCCACTCCTTGCCTAGTCCAGCGACACAGACTTTGGGGGCAAATAAATGACTACATAATTTAAGCAATAATATAAACTTAATCATTAATATAAACAGTAATTCTACAGAATGTGCATATTCTCTAAAATGAGCTTAAGAACTCATGTTATCAGATCACAGTTACCATCTAGTAAGAAAGAACTTGGGTATTTGGAAACAAACAAAAAAAACAAAACAAACCAAAATTAAAGCCAAGAAGTCTGCCCAATTTTATTATCTATGATTTGGATTATCTATGATAGGGCATTAAAACAGGCTACAGAAAAAAACATTTTATTTGGAAAATTCTCAAATTGAAGACTGAGAATAAATCACTAAACATTTTCTAGACTAAGATAACAAAGTAAAATTATGTTTTAGGTAAATTCAGGCCACCTTCAAGAGGATTTTATCAGGTACCAACTATCATCACAGTCACTCTGTAGGCATGACCACATTAAGAGATAGGAAGCCACCTAATTATCCTACAGAAGTGACACATTTTTAGGATTAAAATTTGTTATAGACATGCATGTGGCTCCTATTAATTAAAAAAAAATGTATTGAAGTTGAAAATCTCTCCGGCTGACAAGGATCGCTGTAAATCAGTGTCATAATAGACCAGCGATACCATCAGACAGCAGGGATTAGTCTGTCCCCTTCATTTGGAAGAGGGCCAAGCAATAATAAAACACAGGCTTTTGATGCTACTCTGAAAAAACAAATGTTATAAATTATATATTGGGACTCCCAGCTGGTTTAAAATATGTATTTCAAAAATTTTCAAGCTTTTATTTAAAAAAATTGACAGAAGTTTGGTAATGCCCTGTTATAATCACATATAACTTGTAGTGATAAAAACCATAATTGGAAGTCATCTGAAATAGCTTGTATAGAATTAAATCCAAAACAAGGTTTAATTCATACAGCACTATAATTTTAATGGTTCCAAAATACATGAAAAGTTTTTACTCTCCCTCTATATAATCTTGCTTTGTAAAGGTTAAATAAAAAGTGCTGTTATTAACTTTTTATTCATAGAAAATTAAGTCAAACTACTGTTTGATTGACACAGTTATCATTGATTATTTGTGGAGTTCACTTACTTGGTACTAGGTCGAATTTCTTGACCATTTTTATACCATTTCACCTCCAACTTTGGATCTGCCAATTCCACAACAAACCTTACTCTGCCTCCTTTATCAACCTGATATGCAGGATCAAGAATTTTTGCAAAAGCTAGTAGAGAGAAGAAGCAAAGCTATGTTAATATGCATATATGTATGCTATGAACTTAAATAGTCAATATATGTATGAGAACCCAAGACAAAATGAAAAATTAAGTAAGACTCAGAGAAAAAAAAATTAGAAATCTTACAAATTATCCTTTATATTTTAGAATTCTGGGCTGATTTACATACAATAAAATAGTTTATAAAGTTAAAAGAGAATCCGCATGTTTTTGGAAGAAACATAAAGAAAAGAATTACTAAAGAGGCTTTAAAAATGATTGTCCTAATCCTTCAGGGTTTGTATAATATAAAGCACCCAAATGAAATTGAATTTAAAGAATATGCTTATCATCCTAGTATACTAATAATTACTGTCAGGATTATTGGTATTACCTTCGCATGTCTTCTATGTTACAGATAGTTGTTTTTTTTTAAATTTAGAATTTGTGAGATAAATCCAATGATTCATAAGATTAAATTGAATGCCTTTGACTAATTGAAATAGGCTTATCAGATATTTTTGTACTGTGGATAGTTGCCCGAATACTGGTACGTTAATTTTATTTTATTTTTTTAATATACTTTATTGATTTTTTTTCAGAAATACCTGAAGCTCCACACTTAAAGGTATTTCACAAAGAGAGAGGGATAGAGAGTTAGAAACATCAATCAGCTGCCTCTTGCACAACCCCTACTGGGGTTATACATTCAAAACTCCTCTTACATTTATAGTTAGGAACTCAAGGTTCCAAAAAAAAAAAAAAAAATTAAATAATGTAGAACATGGTGGTTCTTTAAAATATTGTCTTTGAAAGGTCCTAAACAAAGGTAGTTAACCTTTTTAAAAGTCCATATGTTTTATGATTTTAAAGATAATACTCCTCATTTTAACAGTTTGTGAAATACCTTTAAGTGTGGAATGCCTCACAAAGTTTGTCATGCTTGCATTTTCATCATTCCAACTTTATTATACTTCTCAAACAATTTCACGTCCTCATATTTTAGCAAAATAAAATACATTTTAGCTTTTAAAAAGTTATCTATCACATACCTCGAGGCATCAATTCAGAGCTAAGTGACAAATATAAGAAAAGCTGGTGTATCAGACACCTCTCAGAAATAAAACTTCAGGGAGTCCGAGAGAGTGAAGTCTGTGAATGGCCGAGTTAGTAAACAAAACAGAAACAAACCACTTCTACATTTCTGTGGGGCCATTTCTCAACCAAGTTACAGAAAAATAAAGAGCAGGTTTTTAAAAGGAGGTGGTGAGATTCTTTCAATCCTGTTTGAACATTTAACAAACAACAAACAAGAATTGGATTGACATGTTAACCTGCTGGGTCATAAACCATACTATGAGCAAGTATAGGAAACTATGAAGAGCTAATGATCAATTTAAAATTTTTTTTTTTGTTTGGTTTTGTTTTTGTTTGTTTTGTTTAAATGTCAACGTCTTACAGTATTTTTAAAGGGTATTTAAAAAGCCAGAGGAACTGCATCCCGCTTTAGGTCGTCAGGGAGCAGCATTGCTATTTCACAAAACTCGCTGACAACCTAACCTCCCTGGCTGTGAGAAATGAATTTAATACAAGAACATGATGGTAAAACAAAGAGACATGGAATCGACTCCGCCTGCGCAAGAGTGAAGGATTGGAGAGCGAGGGAGATGTGGAGGCTGGAGAAAGGGGCCGATGAGAAATCGCCAGTGGCATTGGGGATGTTAAATATTCTTATTATATGCAGCACGTGGCAGTATTTTAATGTAATTCTCCTGTTAACCTTCCATCTTCAGTAGCTTGTCAACCACCTACATAGTCAGTGCTGTGCGGGGGCAGTGAACTAGCCCACCTGGAGCCAAAGGGAATCCATTAACTCCTACAAAGCCCCACCCCATCCAGTCCCACCCCCAACCCAGGGCCCGGGTACCCCGGCGGCCGCGCCCCCGCGGGCTCACCTGCGCTCTTCTTCTCCACCCTGCGCATGCGCTTGAGCCGCTTGAGCATCCCGCGCAGGTCGGTGATGCCGTACTGGAAGGCGATCTTCTCGTACTCGTTGGGGTTCGCATTTTTCAGCAGCTCCCACACGTCTATCTCGGGCTCCTCGTCCTGCTGCTGCTTCACCTCCCTAACCGGGGAGAAGCACGGCTTAGTGCAGCAGCTGCTCGCTGGCCCGTAAGGACCGGGAGGGATTCCTTTGGTTCAGTGTTGAAAGCTCTGTTTAGCGTCTGAGCACTGCAGCTGGGAAGGAAGTCCAGGGCTTTGTTGGAAGTCTCAGGGAGGCTCCCTGATAGTTCAAGATCAGATGGGTGCACGTATAGGAACGTCGTTTTCCTAGTGCAAAGCCCATGGGCGGGTGGGGTGGGGACTGGAGGCTATCAGAAAATAGCCTGAAGGCATTTTTACTAATTTTTTTTTTCAACTTGTAAAGTCTAGAAGGTGAGACTTGAGGAACTTAAGATCAGGGTTCACCTAGGATATGGTTATTGAAAAAAAGAAAATTAAGACCTAGAAGTTTTAAATATTGGTCTATGAGGGAAAAGGCTCTCTACCTTCACTGGTGTACACACCCTACCTATCTATCTATATATGTAGACAGTACACATATAGTACGCACACCTTTGGATCTTGCAAATAACATGTTTCTTACCATATTAATTCGGGTTTTTTTTGCTATCTTTTAATGCAAAAATATTTGAAATTGCCACGTTTTATTTTATTTTGGGTTGGTTTTTTTTTTTTTTGTCTGATTTTTGTGGATACATGTGATTTTGTAAAGAATTGTGTTCTAAATTGTCAGGGGAAGGAGAAGGAGGCCAACTATTTTTTTCATTTTAAAGTACTGTCTTGAAATTTTTAGGACAGGCTTGGTATAAGTTATGAAGATACGATAACATAATCCATAAAGGAATTTTAAAAATGTTAAACTTCAAAGCAAATGGTCAGGGTTGCATGAACAAGAGGATAGTAACTTAGTGTAATTGTCACTCAAAACTTTGATTATTAACTATAGAACATATAGAACATGTAAAGAACATATACAACTAAAGAATATTTGATTTAAAGTATACCTGTCTGCCCTTGTTTTAAAACAAACAAACAATGAAACAAAAACTCAGGAATAAACACTCTTTAGGAAAAGATCCTTAGGGTAAATGCAAAATATAATTTCAATGGATTTTCTTCATTGGCTAAATCATCCTGATTTTGTTGACATTTCGTTGACTTTTTAAAAAAATCAGATTAATGAGGAAATATTACAGTGACTACTTACTGTGAATAATGCTGGTTTGGATATGATTTGCCAGGAAAACTGGTCAACACATCTTAAGCATCAATGTGAAAACAGATTCATGCTATCATGTTAGCAAATGATGGATTACATATGTTTGCATTGTCACATGAATCACACTTGTTTCAGTGTCTTGGGGAAATGCTGGATTGCAATGATGGGAACGGGAGAATACAAATATTAACCTAGGGTTTAGGGTGATGTTAGGCAAGAATGACTTTTTAATATTTAATTTTCATTGTCACATAAGCCACTTAACCCAGAGGCAGAGAATGCTGAGGCTAATCTGGAAAGTGGAAGTGAGTGAGGGTCACTGGTCCATCAGTAACCTTTGTAGAAAGGACTAGAAAACACCCCTAGAAAAAGAGTGCCTCTTAAAAACACGAGTATTATTATGTTCACTTCACTGAAATAACAACACCCTCTATGAACCTGGTGACATTGAAATGTTTGGGAAGTTGTACTGATATTGGAATATTAGTAGTAATTTGCCAGCTCTGCCAAAACCGGTTTGGCTCAGTGGTTAGAGTGTCAGCCTGTGGACTGAAAGATCCAGGTTTGATTCCGGTCAAGGGCATGTACCTTGGTTGCAGGCACATCCCCAGTAGGGGGTGTGCAGGAGGCAGCTGGTCGATGTTTCTCTCTCATCGATGTTTCTAACTCTCTATCCCTCTTCCTACCTCTCTATAAAAAATCAATACAATATATTTTAAAAATAATAATTTGCCAGATCTACTAAATCTACTGCCTGAAAGCAGTCTAAATTTCAAATATGTCCTTTAAATATTTTGTAAGAAATCTGGAAGAATTGCAATTCAAATGCATATGTGCATATGTATGTATTCTGTGTGGGTATCCCCTCAATCAACTTTATCAATGCTCTGTTTTTGTCACATTCCAGCCTCAATATAATCCCCAAACTATAAAATTGTGCCATGACACATTGGGTTAAATTTGTATTTCAGCCAAGAAGAATTAAATACATATACATTTCAAGTATCCTCCTGACCCTGGCGAAAGGATTTAAAATAGAAAATTAGATCGAAAGAGCTAAAAAGAGGCACAAGTGAAACACTAGGGCATGCCTAGATCCACGAGGTGAATATTGATATGATGGAGGCTAGTATTAAAGATCATTTTCCATGTGATTTCTTAAGTTTCGTTGGCAGGTTCATAAAACCAATCCTCACCTCCCCCCCCCCCATTAAAATACCAAAATATACCTCACTCTGCCACATTCTTTATCAAATTTTTGTGTGCAAACACCGATGACTTAGTGTCTATTCCTTCCTTTTCTCTCTATCACTTAACTCAGTGGTTGGCAAACTCATTAGTCAACAGAGCCAAATATCAACAGTACAATGATTGAAATTTCTCTTGAGAATTGAAAACCGACTTCTATGCATGGGCCACAAAATTTCAATTGCATTGTACGTGCGTGCCCGCATGTGGTATTTTGTGGAAGAGCCACACTCAAGGGGCCAAAGAGTCACATGTGGCTCAAGAGCCGCAGTTTGCCTACCATTGACTTAACTGAATCCCAAATTGAAAGATTGAAGTATTCCCCATTTTGAACTGGATTGTGAGATCAAGGCTCCCACCTATAGCATTTCCTTAACTCATCCAGAACGTATCTTTTCTTAACCTGTGTGGCTGAAGATGGCCCTACCTGTATGGCTGCATTAATTTATAGTAGGGAGAAAAATTCAAATTTCTATAGGTACTCCTCATTCCTTCCCAAGCACCGGGATCAACCTATATAACATTTACAGTATTTTAATCTACATCAAAATTTCTATAACTTGAGGATCCTCATGAAGTTCAAAGCAGTTGTAGAAATTTTATGTAGAATAAAATTTTCAAGTATTTATATAGGTCAAAACCCATAACTAGATGTTACCTAAAAGATTTACTCAGGGCAGGGATATCTTTTGTTGTATGGAGATGTTGGTTATAATGATATATATTCAGATAGCGGTTTTGCCGCAGACTCTTAGAGTAGAAATGGTAACTACGTGTGATTACCACAATGAAAACATATGCAATTCACAAATTAGTAGAAAAACACAATGATTTGTAAAGTTATATTGATGGATTAGTATAGTATATTAAATGAATATAGTCTTATGTTAACAACAATCCATTTATGAGTCAAAATCATAATTAGGGGATGTAAAGAAAATGAGACATGTTGGCTGCCTATATTTTCTAGTAATTTTTTTTTCCTTAGTCATTTTCGCCATTAATTAGATGATTTCTTGTATTCTGCAAACTGGTAGAACTAGTCTGTTCTTTTTTCTTTTATCTTTTTACCCAGAGTATGACAATTAATAATCTACTGTATCATGTTTTGATTGACTGATTGATATATATATATTTTATTTACAAATATAAACTCTTCAAGGGAAAATGTCACATTTTTGGTGGAAGTGAATATTCGACACCTACTGTGAGCCATGCCTTTTACATTTAATTCTCACAATAATTCTATTAGGTAGTTTTTATTCTCCACATTTACACATATGGAAACAGAGTCTCAGAGAGGTCATATAATTTGACTGAAGTCATGTAATCAGTAAATGGTAGAGTTGAAACTCAAATTCATGTTTTTACCACTATTCTTTCTTTCCCACAAATATGTAGTCTTCCCTTTTGGTGTGCTAGGCACTGGAAGACACTGGATTTCTTTTTCTCACCTGTAGCATTATATCTATACAAAGAAAACAGTAGTTTGCTGTTTGAGTAAATGTTTGCAAGGGAAAAACCTTTCTTGTCTTCATCAAGTGTCAATTCGTTTTACAAATTGAAGCATCACTATGAAGTGTCCAAAGGAGGAAAGATGATTTGATACTGCTAATGTCCATTGGTAATTAATAAATTGCACCTTTTAATATTTCTGTTCTCACCCTAAATGTTTAGAGCTGGGGTGAATTTTTCATTCATTGGAACTTGAATAAAGGCATCAAACTAAACTGAGATATCCCAGTTATTTATTTATTTATTTATTTTTATCATTTCTTGTCAAGCATATTTGTACCTGTGTTCCTTTAATAACCATAGGAAGCACTAAAAGAAATAAAAAGTGGCTGAAACCGGTTTGGCTCAGTGGATAGAGTGTCAGCCTGCAGACTGAAAGGTTGCAGGTTTGATTCTGGTCAAGGGCATGTACCTTGGTTGCGGGCACATCCCCAGCAGGGGGTGTGCAAGAGGCAGCTGATGAATGATTCTCTCTCATTGATGTTTCTAACTCTCTGTCCCTCTCCCTTCCTCTCTGTAAAAAAATCAATAAAATATATTTTAAAATAAATAAATAAATAAATAAAATAAAAAATGAACCTAAAAAGTTAAATGAAAACTGATATCAATACTACATTATCATCAATTTAGAATTGTCGTTTTTACTGTTAACTTACAGATTTACTAGGTAAACACAATCCCAGCAAATATCAATTTTTTCTTGTTGTTTCTGCACTAAATATCTGAATATGTTTAACTTTATATATAGCAAATATAATATTGCATATGATATGATTATATATGCAATTGTATAGACAGAAATATAAAAAGATTATATGCTATACATCCATAATGAAGTTGTACAAATTCTATTGTAAAAGAGAACAATATTAACAGGGTGTGAAAATGCAAAATATTTACTTCTATTTTACTACCATATTTTATTTCTTTTTAAATGAACATTTTTTTGACATTTTAAACAACTCAAAAAAAGATGTATCTTATAATCCAAAGTATGTCATTCTATACTATTTGGAGCAATTTTTTATTGCTCAGTGATTTATATAATACAGTTATATCTTAAAATGGATGGTGTCTTAGATTTGATGAAATACAGTAAATGATACATGCTATATTAAAGTAGGTGTGCCTTCAAAATATATATGATGTGTATAATTATATAGACTTGTACCAAAATTGTGAAATTGATTTAATTTTTCAGGCAAATATCAAAGGCAGGAGAATGGAAGCTTTATTCCTTCATCATAGGGAATCATGGTTGAAATGAGAGAAATCAGAGGGTTTTTTTAGGTATTTAAGTCTTCTGTCTCAGTTTTCAATCTCTTCATCCCCGACTAAGAAAATATGCAAAGACTCATAAAACATTTAAGAAGAAAACATAACAGCACCAGCTAAAACCTTCAACAGATTAGTATGCTAAAACCTTGATCAGATTAGTATGCAGTTGTTTCTCTGTCTCTTTCTTAGTTGACTCTGTTATGTGCTAGAAGCAAAACACGTTGTAAGAAATAAGAAATCCTTTGAAACACATCTGCTTTAAACTTGACTTCTCTGAGTGGGTATCTAAAAATTTCCAGGCCATAGCTCCTCACTCCATCACTTGGTTCTCACCTACGTTTCAGGAGACCACTAAAGTCAAGTTCCCCTGCATCCTCTTGACCTTCTCCACTGTCATTAACGAAAGAAAAGCAAATCTGGGTTTAGTGCTGAGACACATACACAACAGTTTCCCCCTAAACACTCTACATATAAAGTATATGCAATTTTGTACCAGCACACACATCCTGGGACTGAATCAACACAAACTATTCCTTTTCACACAAGTGACATTGAAAACTTTTGGGAGTATGTAACTTGTGGAAAAGTAAACATGAAGAGACACAGTTTTGTCGATTGCATATATAAAACGGCTCCGATTTGTGTTAAAATGGAGTAACACAAATGCAATGAAGCCAAACAACACAAAGTACTTTGTTTTTGCAAGTTGGGGGATCTGGAAACATACCCGTGTAAAAAGCAAAGGACTTTTGCTGATCTCTCTCACTCATGTCAAACAGAGATTGGCTTGGAGGACCAAGTGTACTAGTGTCAAATATATATATAAATACAAAGCTTATATTCCAAGGTAACCTCTTTGTGTCCATCAATAGTTGAATCAAATAATGTGATACCGATATAACGTAAGAATGAAGCTAGTGCAAAGCTTTTTAAAAGACACATCCTGCCCTAGCCAGTTTAGCTCAATGCATAAAGCATCAGCCTGAGGAGCAAAGGGTCTTGGGTTCTATTCTGTACTTGGTTGCAGGCTCCTCCCTGGCCCGGGCCTTGGTCCGGGTATGTGCAGGAGGCAACCAATGTTTCTCTCACATCCATGTTTCTCTCTATCTTTCCCTCTCTCTTCCACTTTCTCTAAAAATCAATGGAAAAATATCCTCGGATGAGTATTAACAAAAAGTAAAAATAAAAAATAAAAATTGTATTCCTTTCTGTTTTAAAGGGAAATAAGTATAAACTTTTCATTTTCTTTTAAAATGAATTTTTCAAAAATTTGCCTTTGAAATGTTGAAGAGCCTTCTACAGGGACTTTTTAAAAGTGCTTTTCTATAGAAAAATGCATCTTAAATTAGGCGTGCAGCCATCTTTAATTTCTTATCAACTCCAAATAGAAGCTTTTTGGCTTAAATGGCACTATATACTTACTTGCATGTTTAATTTTTAATAAAGATTTTTTTTCCTGCTCTTTACAAATGTTAGCTATGGTTCCTAAGGGGAGTCTGCAGGTTTAAAAACTGTATATAACAAATTAGTCATACGAATTGAGGTCCAAAAATGTGTTTTCAAAAGTTCTTTAATTGTGTGTATTTGGAGAATTTTGTGTATTTTTAAATAAACACATTTCTATTTCTTTAAAGCACAAAATTTGGTAAAATATACCAATTGTACATGGTATGGACAGAGTGTCAGACACATTTGCTGGGCCTGGCAAGGTGGAAGGAAATGAACAGGATTTGAAAGTTATGACTTTTCAAAAAATGCCAATTGACTAATCATGTAATATTAAAAATCTTTCAAAGTAATTAAAATTTTCATTTGTTTATAATTTAGGAGAAAAAATATGTCTTTTATTAGCAGACTCATTGTTTTATAATAGTTAATAGTTGACTTTCCTTATTAAATAAAACTGTGTGTACCTTTAGTTGTATGAAGAGCAAAACATTTGCTCTCATTAAGGAATTTATATTATGGAAATATCAAGTACTGAAAGTAAAATAATACCAGGAAAGGGCTAGTTGTGCTTATAATAGATTAGAATTTTTTTTTCATTTTTCTTTCTTGACCCCTGATTTTTCAGCCTTGGCAGTTGGGAACTAAATCAAGTAGGTATTTGTATTTAACATTTTACAGTGGTTTTAATTCCAGCAGACTCAGTGGTCTTTCATTTAGGATAATCCAATATTTAAATAATGTTAACTTCAATAAGTAGCTACTTAATTGTGGTTTTCTGGGCATGTGGTTTAATAGCTCCATAGTGATTTCTAGATGAAAAGCGATATAAGTTTTCTGACATTATTTAATTGGTTCTACATGAGATGTGTATATTTATATATTTATTTTTTTGGCCATTTGTTGGGAAATAATGCAATTAAGGAAGAAGGCATATCTGAATAGACTGAAAGTATGTTTTTATAAGGCAACCATAAAGCCTGCCAAAATGGGAGCTTCACTGTTAACAAGAATATTCTTAAGAATGACCCTTAAGCTTTGGCCTGTGTGGCTCAGTTGTTTGGAGTGTTGACCCCGTACACTGAAGGGTCACGGGTTGGATTCCCCAGGCACATTACCTAGGTTGCGAGTTCAGTCCCTGGATAGGATGCACAGGAGAGGCAACCAATTGATGTTTCTCTCTCACATCGATGTTTCTCTCTCTCCTCTCTCTAAAATCAATAAATGTGTCCTCAGGTGAGGATATTTTAAAAAAGCATCATCAGTATATACTTGATTTGGCTGTAAGCCCATGGCTTTTCTAGAACACTAACTTTTTAATATATGGTATATTTAACTACAGTGAAAAGAAGTTCTCATTTGAAATTATAGAGGGTGGAGGAAGAGAAAGTGTACTTTAAAAATCTTCCACTTTTGTGTTGTACAAAAGCTATGGTGAGTCCCCTTTTGAAGTTACCTTCTCTTGAAAGCAGATCTGATGTCAATGTTTGGAGTACTCCCGGTAGATTCTTTGAAAGGAAAGAAAAACAATAAAATAAACACCATTAAGAAGGCAGTTTTGTGTTCATTTCCTTTCCAGGCTGTGGGGATTCTTCAGACAGAAGGAAGGCCAGGAGAAGGGGGCATGGCTGCTCCCAGAATGTTGTCGGGATTGCATAACTTCTCCTCCCTCACTCAGAACCAATGTTACCACAGCCCATTGCCATCCCACCTGCCTGCCTGTTAGAACCTCCTGAAGAGCTTCCAAAAGTGCCAGCTTCTTGATCTCCCTGCTGGAGATTTTGATTCACCTGATCAGAGAGATAGGTACCTAGAAGTCAAATTCTTAAAGAGCCATGCAGGTGATTCTCAGAGATGCCTGGCTAGATTCTATAATCCCAATGGAGTGGCTCAGGACCAGATTTCCACTTAATAGAGAAATCTTGACAACACCTCCACCCCAGATCATGCAGCCTCCGCCTGACATCTCTTGGGATGGGCATCTCACAACCTTCTGCTGTGTCTACAAAGCTTTAATGACAGAGCTCACTCTAATGTCAAGACAAACTTCACTGTCTCCTAATTTTCACCTTTTGAATCTAATCTGCCTAAACACTTCTCGAGTTACATGGAAATGGCCTTGTCCTTCTGTGTGATGGCCCTTCCTCTATTTACAATGAATTGTATAGGCAATTCTTCATCCACACTAAATAGAGAATGATTTCTGGATTCTCCATTCCCCTGGCTGCCCTCCTCTGGAAGGGAGGCTGGTGGAGTATAGTACCAAGTGCTCAAGACATTACTCCCGATGTGGATCAGTTGCTGTAACATGCTGTAGAGTGGGGTGTCATTTCCTAAACCTAGATTCTGATGGCCTAGTTTTAAATTACTCCAGCTTTGTCTTTTATAGCGACATCACACTTTGGAATCATCTTAAGTGTATGATCTTTACAGCCAAGTCAACTTTCCCTTTTATACCCAGAGAAATGGTTCCCACCCCCAAACTACCTGTACACCTTTACATTTATCCCTATTAAATCTGCTCCGGGCAGTACACAGAACATATGAATGAATACTTCCATATCTCATCTCTGTCTTTATAAGAGAAATCCTCCCTTTCACCTGGGTATCCTAACATCCTTGGGCCATATTAACTTATCTCCAAACCTGAGTGGGAATAAATAGACCCAATGAAACATGAACATTCAGTTCAGCATCAGCCCCTTATTTGGGAGATTGAAGGGATATAGAGAGCATGAATAAGAGATACTCAGTAATGATATCTTCAACTTCCCCTTATAAAATTACCTCATAACTAGTAATTCAGCAGGCTTGCTGAGGCCATCACAACCAGAAACACACACTGTTTTAAAGGAAACTTTATTTTCAAAATACCATAGTATTAAATGGCCTTCTCCTCCATTCCTTCCTGTCCCATCAAAAAAAAAAAAAAAAATCACACTTATCCAGACAAGAAGGGTCTCTTACCGCGCACTTCAAGATCGAATGAACAGCTGTCAAACTTATCCTTATAGCTGACCTCGCATCTGTAGTTTCCTGCATAGTTCTCTTTGGCCTTGATGATTTGCATCTCGAATGTGTATATCTGCAATAAAATACATCCGGCACATGTCAGTCCTACCTGGCAGAAAAATGCCATCACATTTCAGTATTTCCCCCACCCCTGTAGCACCGGCTTAAAGACACATCTGTATCTGTGGGTTCTGCGATGATGCTCTCAATAGAGGAAGGGTCCTGTGATCCACAGCCTCTGGGCACAGCAGGGCAAGCAAGCTAAGGGTAGACCCTAGGAACACTAACTCAGGAGAATTTTCTGGGACTGAAAGCTCTCAAAGCTGAACATAAAAATGACTTATCACCCACCCCGAAGGAATGAGCTAGCCAGGCCTCTGTGCCAGGAGTTCAGGGCCATACCCGACTGTGCCTTTCGAAGGTTTCCTTCAGCTGGAGGTGCTTCCCAGCTTTGCTGGCCAGGTCCATCCATTTCCCTTTAAACCACTTGACAGTGGGTTTTCTAAGAAGATCTTCAGCCTTGACCTTGGCTACAAAGGTGATATTTTCACCTAGAGAAAGCACAAGTGATTCAGGCTGGTTTGAGAATTGTCATTTGGCCCAGCCAGTGCGGCTCTCAGTTGATGGAACATTGTCCTGTGCACCAGGAGGTTACCAGTTCCATTCCCCATCAGGACACATGCCCAAGTTTGGGGCTTGATCTCCAGTGGGGGTCACATAGAAGACAGCCAATTGATGTTTCCCTCTCTCTTTCTTTCTCCCTTCCTCTCTCTGAAATCAACAAAAACTGTCATTTTTTTAATGATATTTTTAAAAACTGTCATTTGTTTTGTTCTCAACTGGAAGGAGTTATATGGGACTGCACTGCATACACTCTAATGAGACAGGTAGGTGCCTCTAGAATTGTCCAATGAAATGGGCCTGATTTTACAAGCACCCTAGAAGGTCTTTAGATTCTCCAACTTGTTCTGCATTTGAAGTTTATGGAACAAAAAAGGAGCAATGGGTTAATTAGTAGAAATAATTTTGTGGGGGGATTAATATCCTATATATGAAATAAAAATGTGAATAAATTCACAAATGTATGTATACAAATCTATATATACTAGAGGCCCAATGCACAAAATTTGTGCATAGGAGGTGGGGGTAGAAGGAGGGTGTCCCTCAGCCCAGTCTTCACCCTCTTACAATCCTGGACCCCTTGGAGGATGTCTGACAGTCGTACATCCCTCTCACAATCAGGGACCACTGGCTCCTAACCGCTCGCCTGCCTGCCTGATCATCCCTAACAACTCTGGCTGCCTGCCTGATCGCCCCTAACCACTGGCCTGCCTGCCTCATTGCCCCTAACTGCTCACCTGCCTACCTGATCATCTCTAACCACTCTCCTGCCTGATTATCCCTAACTCCTCACCTGCCTGCCTCATCGCCCCTAACCACCTCTGCCTCAGCTCCCACAGACAAGGCTTTGTCTGGAATGTCATCTGTAAGGTCATTTGGCTGTCTGGTCTAATTAACATATCATGCTTTTATTACTATAGATAGTGTATAAATGTTTTCAAATCTTTTTTATTAAGCAAGTGATGGGAAGTCTAGAATTATGAGAATATGATTATATGAAGCTGATCTTTTTAAAATAAACTTGCCTATCTGTTTGAATTGAGATTACTGATAAGATCCTAAGTATTATACATGAAAACTCTAGCTCCATGGCCAGAGCAGCATTTTGGTGTCTTCCAGAAACATGAGGGGCACTGACATTTCCATTTACATGCAGTGTGCTTCTACATTCCCGACCTGAAAGAATATAGGCAACTATAGGCTTATATGCATACTATTTGGTAAGTGTCAAAGACTATTATAGTTCTGATCCCAGTATATTTCTTATAAAAATTTACTTAGTTAGAAGTTCCTGGGCCCCAAGTTGTACTCTAACTCACCACCCTGTTTATTTCCTTCATGGTACTTGTTTTTTGGTGATTATCTGTTGGTTTAATTTGTTGTTTGTTCCTCCCATTAAAACTGCAAGTTGTGAGTGCTCACATGTTATACTTAGTGTTCAGAACAGTGTTTTAACATGTGTGCAATCAGTATTTTTGAATGAGTATCTCCAAAGTTGAACCATCTACTTGACTAGCTTCCTCTGAGATACTATCCGTTCTGACAGTATTGTAATCATCTTACAGAATGAGGCATGTTGTAATGACAGCAAACACTGGCTCGGAGATTTAAGATACACCAAGCATTGTTCAAAGTATTTCACAGGTAGTATCATCCCCACTTGACAAATGAAGAAACCTATTTGTATCCCACCTGGCTCCAGTCTCGAGGCACTCAACTCCTACATACTAAAAGGTAACTCACCTCTTCAAGGATTTGATATAGAAATACAATGGGATACTATCCTATATAATAAAGAGCTAACATGCCAATGGTCATCATGCCCTCACGCCATCACACCATAATGGCTCAGACACTCTATACTGGTAGAGAGGAATGGGGACCAGCCAGGCTGTGGCCTGGGAGAGGAACAAGCCTCACACCCCATGGTCCTGAGTGCCAGTGGCTGCGCCTACACCTGCAGCCTGGGAGAGGGACAAGCCGCACACCCCACGATCCAGGGAGCCAGTGGCTGTGGCTGTGGCCCAGGAGAGGGACAAGCTGCCTGCCCCATGGTCCTAGGTGCCAGTGGCTGCGTCTGCACCTGTGGCCTGGGGGAGGGACAAGCTGCCCATCCTGCAGTCCCAGGTGCTTGTGGTTGTGGCCTGGGTGAAGCCACTGTGGCTGTGATCGGCCTGGGAGAAGCTGACCCAGATCCTGGGTGCCTGTAGCCGGCCAGAGGGAGGGAAGCCCAGGTCCCGGGTGCCTGCGATCAGCCAGAGGGGGGAATCCTGGGTCTCAGGTATGGGGCGAGGTAGATGGCACAGGGGTGATCAGGTCAACAGGGGAGCAGTTAGGGGTGATCAGGCTGGTAGGGGAGCAGTTATGGGCAATCAGGCAGGCAGGCAGAGGTGGTTAGGGACAATCAGGCAGGCAGGTAGAGAGGTTAGGATGATCAGGCAGGTGAACATTAAAAGCCAGTGGTCCCGGATTGCAAGAGGCAGTTGGATATTCCCGAGAGGTCCCCGATTGAACAGGGTACAGGTCAGGCTGAGGGACCCACTTCCCATGCATGAATTTTGTGCACCGGACCTCTAATCCAGCCATAAAAAGGAAAGGAAGTACTGATTTATGCTACAGAATAGATAGACTCAGACACTAAAGGTCACATATTGTGTGATTCCATTTATATGAAATACCCAGAATAGAAAAATTTATAGAGACTAAAAAAGATTAGTGGTTGCCAAAGGCTGAGAGGAGGAAGAATGGGGAGTAACTGCCTAATGGGGGTACAAGGTTTCTATTTGGGATGACGAAAAGTTTTGTAGCTAGATAGAAGTAGTGGTTGTACTAATAGCCAACTTTACAATGGTTGATTTTTTGTTATGTGAATTTCACCTGCATTTTTTTTTTAAAAGCAGGATTTATGCTTGGCACTCACCAACTTTCACTGTTCCTGTTTGAGGCTTTTCCACAAACAGGATGGACAGCTGAGAATTGGCGTTCTGCTTGTCTTGATCCTCGGTGCCAGGTGATTCTCCAAGAGACCATTCTAATGAGGATAAAAGAGGAAAAGGATCATTTCAGGGCCAGGTGCTTTGGAGGTAGACTTACCTGGGTTTGTCGTTCTCATCATCTCAGAAGCTTGACTTTGTCTAGTCAACCTGGGTAAATGTAACACCACTCTTTCCATCCATCTCCCTGCAGTCATCAGAAGAGTGACAGGTTCCCATTCTTACATGGATGTTTCTTCCATGATGGGATAAAGGAACATTTTCTGATTCCTAGAAGCTAACACTTTTCAGGTAGGGTGTTATTCTGTCTTTGTTAGAAGCCATGGTTCTTTTCTTTCCCCATCCTGCCTGACCCCTATCAAATAAATAATAGTGAGAAGTATATTAAAGCAGTACTCTCAGTATTTTTTTAGGTCACTGACTTTGAGGCTATACACATATAACAAAAGAATTGGATGGGTCAGTTTGCAGGTCAACTGGGAAGGATGAGACAATCAAGTCTGGCCTGATATTTTTAAATGTCTTGCTATTGTATAATTAGACAATTCTATTAGGATCATACAGATATGGCCATAATTTGGAAAATTAACAGATCATGACTGCAGGTACAGTTTCAAGGATATCAGGAGCATCCTGAAAGGGGGGAAAGCTCAGAAAAACAGAAAGAAAAAACTCTTTGAGTCTTTCCCATGAAGAGATAGAACCTGGAAATAAAGATTATTTTGCATTTTTTAGTTTGCATTCCAGGTTCTTAGCTTGGATTAATCATCAGTCAACTCCAATGAGGTGGGTAGGAGAGAATGTAGATATTCCCTCTGTCTCTGAGAGTTGAATTCAGAGAAGTTCAGTTTCATCTGCTTAAATAGCTGGGGGGGAAAAATGCTAGAGTTGCCAATTTTACCTGTTAATGCTTCTTGAAAAGAAGAGAATGGAGATTTAGTTATTTTAGTTGTCATGTATCAGTCATGCTCAGTATTTCTATCCACAGAGACCATCATTTTCACAATTAAGTTATGCAATGTAGTCACATGATTACATGATTTTTAATAACAAAGTTGATGTTAAAAATTTATGTTGTGTGTGACTGTGATATTAATAATAATAGTGATCATTCACATTTAGAATATGAGGCAGAAATTTTGCTTATTTTTTTTTCTTTCTTCATTTCTATATCTACAAATGCTTGGCCCATAAGAAGCCCATAGTAGGATCATAGTAGGCACTCAACATAAATTTGTTGAATGAATAAGTGAATTGTAGCATAGCTGACAGGATAGATCTGTAGGTGTTTTATCAAGTATATGTAAAGCTCTCTAAAAATGTGAATTATTATCTAACGTCAGCACTCTCCAAGTGTAGATTTTAAAAGTTCCTTAATCTCTCTTTATTTGTCAAATGATAGCTATAATAAAACAAACCAATCTGTGGTGTATGTAGGAAGATTCCTGCATTTGTGTATATGTATCATGCAAAATTAATTGTTTCTTAATACATTAGTTTTCTTGTAAGAAATGTAATGTAATGAAAGAGGGCTACCAGAGCTACAAACTGAATAAAACAAAGATTAGAATCAATGCAGCTTCAAGAGATGAGGTCATTAGTGATTGTTCCAGGCGTCTGCTCACCTGAGTCTTTTCTCTCCAGGGCCCGACTACTCAAACCTGAAAGGAAAGTGTGGTCTGGGTGATGCAAGAGGAAAGGGGTGCCAACGAAGTGCTGACTGCAACCTCCTTGGATCCCCAAACCCTCTTCTGATAATAGGGAGAAAGAAGCTAGAAGTTGGTTTGGATGGAAAATCAATAGAGCTTCAACTATGAAAGCATCTCTAAAATGATGTCTTATTTAAAAAACAATAAGCCCTTGCCGGTTTGGCTCAGTGGATAGAGCATCGGCCTATGGACTAAAGTTTGATTCCAGTCAAGGGCACATGCCTGGGTTGCGGGCTCCATCCCTGGTAGGGGGCATGTAGGAGGCAGCCAATCAATGATTCTATCTCATCATTGATGTTTCAGTCTCTCTTTCCCTCTCCATTTCTGAAATCAATAAAAAAAATATATTAACTAAACTAAAATAAAATAAGATTGCCCAGCTGGCATGGTTCAGTGGTTGAGACTCGATCTATGAAGCAGGAGGTCATGGTTCAATTCTGGGTCAGGGCAGATGTTTAGGTTCTGGGCTTGATCCCCAGTAGGGAGTGTGTAGGAGTCAGCCAATCAATAATTCTCTCTCATCATTGATGTTTCTTTCTCTCCCTCTTCTTTTCTCTCTAAAACCAATAATAATATTTAAAAAACAAATAGAAGACAAATATTTTTGCCCCAAAAATTTGTATCCAAGATTTATGAGTCTTATTTATTTCACAAAAGAAGACTCTTTAAAAATGTCCTCATGTAAAAAAATTTACAAGTTTACCATTAAAGCCATTGTTTTTCCTCTTAGCTCTGGCACCACCTTCTCTGTGCCTTGTCTCATCAAGGTGCTCTGTCTTTTCTTTTCCTTTACTGCAACTTCATAATAAATTACAAAGTGGGGAAATAGGGGGTTTGGGATCATCCTAACCTGGAGGCAGGACAAAAGATGGGGAGGCTTCCTCTTCATCTGAAACAAGAAATAGGCACACAAAGTCAAGGAGAAAAGGACTTCATCCCAAGTATCCTGAGGAAAGAGAAATCTGAAAAAGAAGAGGAGAAACTACACAAAACACTTTCAACTGATGAGTAAGACTTGGTACCTGAAAGATTAAATTTGAATGTTTTGGGAAAAAGATAAAAATAAATAAAAGGGAATAAGGTAATCCAAATGAAAGTGTAAATTAAAAATTGGAACTCTATGCAAACGTTTTATGTGGTTGTAGGTTAGGATATTAAAATTTTTAACCTCGATGAAATCCTCAACTAAGGTGATTTTTGAGTTCTCATTTTGTAGCTAACATCAATGACAGGCATAATTCATGTACCACGATCATTTGGACACAGACATCAAAGCATATATGTATTGTTTGAGAACTTGTTCCCCCACCCGGAAAACCTCATGGTTAATTTCTTTTTTCTATAGAAAACAAAAGTCAACATTAACTAATATAAATCAATTTGTCATACTTATTAACTTCACCAATAATTATTTTAGAAATTTTACAAGAACTTTATCAAGATTATATTGGTGATGGTCAATGCTGTTTAATTTTAAAAATATTGCCTAGCTGGCGTGACTCAGTGGTTGAGCATCGATCTCTGAACCAGAAGGTCATGGTTCAATTCCTGGTCAGGGCACTTGCCCAGGTTGTAGTCTCGATCCACATGTGGGACTTGGAGGAGGCAGCTGATCAATGATTCTCTCTCTTTGTTGATGTTTTTCTCTCTCTTTCTTCCTCTCTGAAATCAATAAAAATATAATTTAAGAAAACAAAATAATAAAATAAAATAGGATTCAGCAAATGCACACACATGACTGTTAATTATACCAGGTAAAGTGCCTTACCAGATACCTTGAGATAAAATAGTACATTTCTGTATAATTTATTAGAATATTTACAGCCAATAATATTTACTAGCCTGAAATTTCTTTTCTAAGACTGTCAACCAAAGATATCTATTATTACTTTTTACAAAATAATTAAGGTACTATTCAGAGAACCTTAATGTTATATCTTCAGAACCCACGAGGTGACTTGCTGGATACTGTGAGAATCAGGATCTTCAGAGGAAGCTTTCTGTGGTCAGAGAAGCTTGGAAGATGTTAGGCTAACTGGAGTTTTATGCTTGCATCCTATTGTACTGTGTGTGTGCTTGTTAGGGACATCTCAAAGCTGTCAGTGTGCTAATATGCTCCAGCAATCGGGGTGGAGACAAGAAATGATAAAACAGTTAATATTTCTCAAACTTGGTTCACGTTTGACTCCTGGAATTGTACATTTGGGGAAGAATAGGCATTTCTGAGCTATGAGCAGAATTCTACAGTTCAGAAGACTTAGATGATTCAAATTTTACATAAAAAATGAAATACCTGGTGATTTATAAATGCTTGCCATAAATTTAATTCAATATTAATATTTTATTCTTGTAATTTAAAGACTTTTATTTACTAAATTAAATAAAGAATCTTGATTTAAAGTCTTGTAAAAATGACTGGAAAAATAAGTTTTAAAACTCAACCAAGTCCTAGAAAGGAACTTCCTTTATTATATAGAAATTAGAACAATGCCGAAGCCGGTTTGGCTCAGCTGTAGAGCGTTGGTCTGTGGACTGAAAGGTCTCAGGTTCGATTCCTGTCAGGGGCATGTACATTGGTTGCGGGCACACCCCGGTGAGGGGTGTGCAAGAGGCAGCTGGTCGGTGTTTCTCTCTCATCAACGTTTCTAGCTCTCTCTCTCTCTCTCTCCCTTTCTCTCTGTGAAACATCAATAAAATATATTTAAAAAAATAAAAGAAATTAGAACCATTTTGAGTCAACTGAATACTTCATTTTATATAGGTTTTATATGTATTTGTTTGCTTTATGCACAGGGTATAATGAATCCTTGAGTTATTAATAATTGTTTGGAAAGCTAAATGATTAAGAATAATATTCACATACTTTCATAAAACTAAAATGAAGAAATAAGCAAAATGTTGATGAATGAGTAGTTTTGATGTCCACTAAATATTAAAGACTATTTGGATGAATATGCAGAATTAGTTTAGACCAGTGGTCAGCAAACTCATTAGTCAACAGAGCCAAATATCATCAGTGCGATTGAAATTTCTTTTGAGAGTCAAATTTTTTAAACTTTAACTTCTTCTAACGCCACTTCTTCAAAATAGACTTGCCCAGGCCGTGGTATTTTGTGGAAGACCCACTCAAGGGGCCAAAGAGCGCATGTGACTCTCAAGCCACAGTTTGCCGACCACGGGTTTAGACTATTAAGACACCACATATTAAACCAAAGCTTCAGAGTGTCATGAAATGATCTAGATGATCAAACATTACTTCCAAACATCAATTCCTGCTCAATTAACAATTTTTGATTTCTTATACACACATTTCCAAATTTACTTAGGTG